ATCCCTTTCAATTTGGATTTAGGAGAGGGGCTGGGGCAGAAACTGCCCTGTTTACATTAATGGGAAGCATAGCTTATTATAACGAAAGACAGTCTCCAGTTTATTGCGCTTTTCTCGACAACAAGAAAGCTTTTGACAGAGTCTGGCTTAATGGTCTTTTTTTCAAACTGTATAACTTTGGTATTAATGGAAAATTATGGCGACTTTTACGCACAATATATACTTCAATGCAGTCATGTGTAAGCATTGGAGGTTTTACCTCAAATGTGTTTCATGTTAAGCAAGGTGTTGGTCAAGGTCGCGTTTTATCGGCATGGCTTTCTACTCTGTATATTAATGACTTGTTGTATTCACTTGATGATTCAGGGCGTGGTTTGTGTCTTCCATGGGGTAATACACCCGGCACCCTATTAGCAGACGATACTAAGCTGTTGAGCAGCTCCCCTGACGGACTGCAATGTCTACTGAATAATATATACACCTATGCTAATAGATGGCATTTGAAATATAATGCCAGTAAAAGTGCATTTCTACTGTTTGGGAATATTCGCAAATCTGTCTGTCAATGTGTCTACATTGGTTCACAAGTACTTCCTAAAAAGGAAAATGTAACTTATGCTGGATTGCTTCTAAGTACATCAAAGAAAACCTTAGAACGTATCCATCTAATATGTGAAAAACTCAGAATGTTAGTCAATATAAATTATAATCATGGACTATACTTTGGTGGTTTAAATCCTATCCCAGCTGTTCGTATATGGGAAAGGGTAATTTTACCATGTGGATTATTTGCTTGTAGTGTTTGGGGTAAACTGTCACCGAAGGAATACGAAATGCTTGAAATTATTCAACGTTGTTTTTGTAAAAAGATTCAAGGACTGTCCAGACGCACACCTTCCGTCGTCACCAGAGATTGTCTGGGTTTAATTTCTCTCCAGGTGTACATTGATCAACGAGCTCTCTTATTTCTTGGAAGACTATGTAATTGTGACATTAACTTTGCATTTAAAAGACTATTGCAGCACAGACTTGTTCAGTATGAACTCGATACAATAAAGGAAAAAGATGATAAATGTAAAATGTCACCCGTATACCACATGCTTTCACTTGTAAACAAGTATGAACTCAATAATGATATAAACACATATACCACCTATTCTCATCCCCCCCAAAAAACAAAAAAAAAACATACATGGGCGAGTCGAGCTAAAGAACAAATAAGCGTATGTGACCATAACGTAATTAATGCAGAGATTCATTCAAGAGAAAACCTAAAACGATACTCTCTTATACGATCACCTAAGGTACACAGACTTTGGTTACTAACAATTGAAAGGCCGGAACACTTCTATGATTTAGCATATTTATTATGTCTTAGCACCTACAGTATACAATCTGATGAATGTTTAACTCAACAAAGAAATATTTTTGTTGAGTCTAATATTGATTTACTAGATGTGACAACTTTTTCTAGTATCTGGAACGATGATGACGATACCTTTCTGTCCTTTTTACTTGGCGGTTTGCCAACAGAAAGTACTATGGCAATTGAATACAATCTATGGACAAATATAATGCTCCGTGTATGTAAAACTGTTAAAATGTGGAAAAACCTACTAAGAAACATTATTTGATAACGATGTGAAAACTGCCTCTACATACAATATATCAGCTGTTATATATATGTTACAGGAAACAAGCATAATCAGTGATTAAGTCTAATAACTGGAAATTTCAGTGATTATGTCTAATAACTGATTCACTCGGTGGTTATGTCTAATTACTGAAATCTTCAGTAATTAGACATAATCACTGAAATGAACCAAGGGATTTTATACTTGTTTACTGAAAGCATATCCCTGCCTTTTTATAATAACTTGTGAGAAGGCTTCATAATCCTGTCCTAAGCCAATCTCCTGTAAACAAACAGAATCATGTGTTGTAACAACATTTGAGAAGTTCTGAAGTTCTTCAGCGACTGCAGTCAGAAGATGATCTACTTGAATCTCCTGTTTCCAATGCTGACAAGTCATTAGAAGAGCCCACTCCATCATCCAGTGACGCGTCAGAAGTATCTATTCAAACATCGCCCGCCTCCCAGGAAGATCAAGTAGCAGCACAACTTAACAGCATCATGCAGAACAGAAAAAGTGCCAGAGAAGCACAAGAAGAACAAGCCCAGCACATGGTGAAATGCAGCAAACGTGTTTTTGGGCCTGTAAGTGTTGGAGACAATGTAACTGTTCCTATCCCCCATGTCGACAGAGGAAGAGGTGATCCACGTAACATAATTGGTGTAGTTATTGAGTGTAGTGACAATGACATGTTCACAATTGCAGTCAAGGGTGGTGTGCTAAATGGGAAATATTCCCGTAACCAGTTTGATGTATGTGTCACCAAACTGTATAATGCTGACGATTTCAAAACCGATCGAACACTCTCTTTGCGTCAAGCGGTTCAACTTGACTCAGTCTGTGGTGGTCAAGGCTTTGTAAGGTGTAATTGTGTTGGAACTAAATGGTGTCAGACCAATCGCTGCAAATGTTTTAAGGTCAAGATGCAATGTAATTCTAGATGTCATTCAAGTCTTTCATGTGCAAACAAACATTCCTGAGTGTCCATCTGACTGCTATTTGTCATACCATTCATGTCATACCATTTTATGAAATAAAAGATTGAACTGTTTAAGCTTATTTCTGTGATTTTTGTGTAAGGTATCTGGTTACAGGAGGTTGTATTTACTTTGATAGCTAATCTAATTTCAAAACTAGCACACATTATAAAAACAAGGCAGGAATATGCTTTCAGTAAACAAGTATAAAATCCCTTGGTTCATTTCAGTGATTATGTCTAATTACTGAAGATTTCAGTAATTAGACATAACCACCGAGTGAATCAGTTATTAGACATAATCACTGAAATTTCCAGTCATTAGACTTAATCACTGATTATACTTGTTTCCTGTAACATATACATTTGTAGAACACCGTAATACCTCTCATCAATGTATCTTCATCAACTGGAGGAAATAAAGATGGTCTATCTATCTATCATCTATCCTAACATGTTGGTTAATATATGGAGAATAACTCATATTCAAGAGATATAGGGATTGGTTCGATGCACAAACGAACACACTGGTATGTTGTGTGAACCGACGCTCATGAATGCATCACATGTGACGTCATTTAAGGATTGAAGTTGTATTTCTTGACGTTCATCAGCTGATGAAGACAGTGCCTCCCAGGAGCAAATTCCATGATGCTCGAAGCTTGATAGTGTTCACCTGGACCAGGTCAACCGCTACTGTCAATATTGATCCAGGACTCGAGTTGCACCATTTGTATCGTGCAGGATCAGCGTGTAAAGTTTGGAAATCACATTGGCTTCTAAGGATTGTGCAAATATTTGAAAAAATTAAAAGTTGATTTCAGGCCGCGTGCAAACCCTGCTGGCGATACAGGTTCTCCGACAAAATTTGAAATCATTCACTTGTCAAAATAAATAAAAGCCCAGTTCCGTCTGTTTCAAGTGTAAATTAATTGAAACGTTTGATCAAAATAATGTATAATTGATAAACAACTCTCCATTCATGAAAAATATAGGAACGTTTGAACAACAGAATGACTGACCACAGATGCATGCTTAAAACAAAGTACAATTGTAGCTTGAGTCCAGGAAAAGTTGCATGTCCGAGCAGGATTCCAGCCCAAGGGCGGCGGCGTGTTAACAATGGCGACTGTACCAGACAATCCAAAGATTGATATTATGAGCACCGATCCAAGCCATCGGGGTACGCTTGGGACCTATTCTCACCTGGAATACCCTTGGTGCAAGGGATACTGTTACCCCTACGCAAAAAGAATACCTGCTGTTGTTTAAACAGAAGAATAAAGCAATATATGGAAGAGTAAATATCTTCCTGTTTCGGAGCTACCTTCAGTGTTGTCCTTTGTTGGTTGTTTAACGCCGCACTCAGCAAGATTCCAGCTATATGACGGCGGTCTGTAAATAATCGAGTCTGGACCAGACAATCCAGTGATTGACATCAAGAACATCGATCCACGCAATTGGGATCAATGACATGCATCAACAAAGTCAACGAGCATGTACACCCGATCCTGTTAGTCGCCTCTTACGACAAGCATAGTCGACCTCTTCTACCCCGGATCTTCACGGGTCTTCAGCGAGGCCAAAGATACCAGTAATGACTTGTACATGACCTTACTGTAATCCGCTTGTACACAAGTTCGTCAAGCTCCAGATTACAACCGAACTTACGCCAATCCATATAACCAAAATAGGAAAGAACTTCCTCAAACTGACGGACACGTTTCAAGGAGTAATCGACATACCAAGTTCACTTCAAGCCTGGCTTAATATCACTCTGTGGTCACCATCTATAGAAAGATCGCCCATATTATATTGCAGTTTTCTTTCAGCGAGGGTCGCACATTCATGCACATGGCTGTGTGGTGGGGTTTGGTGTGTAAAGAAATCGTCCCTTTCATACTGGAGCCGACAGCAGACACATTCAAACGGAAACTAGGCTCAAGTGATTGTTTAGCAATGGACACAGCGGTTGAGACCCAGTCTTCAAAGCCGTGTTAGACCAAGTACCGACTGCGTGTCTCTCAGTGGGATCCCTGGGCAGAACAGGTCCATGGCACAAACTGATTGTGTTCAGGGTCGTCGGAGTCTTTTGATTGCCTGTTATCATACATTATCACGAATGAGAGAGTTTGCCTATCGCCGCTTTGAACAGTATTCCAGTTATATCTCGGCGTATCAACTTCATGTGGGACGGGCGAACCGGGATTCGAACCCAGAAGGGACGCAGCGAATTGCGGTGCTTTAGACGACTGGGCCAACCGCATCAGTAACGTACTTAAAGTACTTGATGTTAGTATAACGCGTCATCAATATTCCAGACATAGAACGACGCCTTGTGCCCCACAAACCAGTGACTGATATTATTAACAACGAAACCAACATGACAATAGCGTTATTCTGTAATTTATTGACATGAACGGTCAATGACAAATGTAATTGTAAACTTCAGCACTAACATAAAAGCAACATACAGCAGTCAATAGTTCTCAATCAACACAAAGGAATTCAACCTTGCAGGCCTGTAGTATACAACACATGCCTCTTACAGTGGAACAACCGTGTGGATCTGTCCCAACTACAGCGGCCGAGCACACACTCGGGAGCCCATTCTCAGAGGAGGCACACATTTTTTTTTGTCCCAGAGCTACGTCCCGGGATACGCACGACAAACAATAGGACCTCCTCCACACAGCAGCTATGGGAAACTCCCCAGCATTCAAGCAATTGTTTCACGCGTGTCATGAAAAGCTGGTCGTTAGACGACGATCCCATGATCTGCCTTGTCATTTCCTAATCATTTCGATAATTTGGCCATCATTTGAACAGGACACGGCTTCTCCGCCATGTGAGGCCAACTCACTTGTTGCCGTGTGGAATAGGACATATTAGCATACCGCCCAAAGGTATCGCACAGGTGACACGTGACCAAGAATTGAAACATAAGATGGTCTTAAGATGGCATTTCAAAACAGATCATTCAAATTCATAAAATCATTCGTTTCAGGTCGTATTCAGGTTTGAAATCGCACTAAAAAGTTGTTTTGAAATTCTTTTGTTTATGAAATAAGAAGAGTGATTGGGGTTTAACACCACTGTGAACATTATTCCAGTTATATCACGGCGTTTCAGCTTAATGTCAGAGAAAAGCCCGAAGTAATACAGGTCTTAGACGTTAAGCACTTTGGTGAAACCCACAGGACGGGTATGGTGCTTACAAACCAAGAAATATAATCCGGTCGAGCCACAATCACAGGTTTCTGGTGTGAACAAGGCACGCAACTCTGCAGGCGAAGTACCGCGCCTTCGATGACAGGGTCTCCCGTGTCCCCTTTGAAACTAGGAATAGCATAAGGACAGACCATATTAACTTGGGGGGTGTTTTGTAAAGATACTTTCGTTAAATTTTCGGTCACTGCTTCAGGACACATATTTTACTTCTCTGACGTGAGCCGATCTTTATTTTTTACTTCTGACGGGAGCGGATCTACACATTTTACTTTCACAACACATATTTGTGTGTGTAAACATATATATCCCGGAAGAATTGTTTTTCCTTAAATCCGGAATCTAAACATTGTATCCCACCCCATGGTACAGATACTCCAGACACTCTGCATGTGACAGTCGGGACAACCGGCCAATGTGTTGGTTTCCAGTGTAGGTGGTCCTGTTACAAGGGAGTCAATATGTTTTTACGACGCCTTTAGCAATATTCCAGCAATATCATGGCGGGGCACACCAGAAATGGGCTCTACACATTGTACCCATGTCGGGAATCGAGCCCGGGTCTTAGTTGTGACGAGCAAACGCTTTAACCACTAGGCTACCCGGCCGCCCGGTCCCATTACAACCACATGAGACTGGAACAGATGCCATTGGCAACATCGTGCACAGAGCGTTCCAGCCTGACAGACAGTGGTTTCAGCTTCAGACCCATGTCGGGATATAGCTCCGGGACTGCAGCTAAGGTAGGATATAAATTCTAACACTACTTTGTCTTAGAAAGTCAGCCCCCATTAAACAGTACATATACAGTGACAGCTTGTTAGTCCTGACCCCTCTGGACATCCTGTACTCCGGACAAACACCACTGGGAATGTGTACAAGGAGACTCTAGTCTGTCATCCATTCGTGCCTCCTGTACTCCGGACAAACACCACTGGGAATGTGTACAAGCAGACTCTAGTCTGTCATCCATTCGTGCATCCTGTACTCCGGACAAACACCACTGGGAATGTGTACAAGGAGACTCTAGTCTGTCATCCATTCGTGCCTCCTGTACTCCGGACAAACACCACTGGGAATGTGTACAAGGAGACTCTAGTCTGTCATCCATTCGTGCATCCTGTACTCCGGACAAACACCACTGGGAATGTGTACAAGCAGACTCTAGTCTGTCCTCCATTCGTGCATCCTGTGACTTACTACCTTGACCTCAGGAGACAGGTGGAGTCGGACTACAACAAGCATTGACTTCAACTGTATTTTCCATGGTACAAGTGTCAAGAAGTAATATTGTTAAAATGAATAAAATTGTCTTGATCTTCTTTCAGGTTTGGTAAAAACATAAATAAAAGAATAGAGTAAATATTTCAGAAATTATCTTTTGACAAACAAAACTTGTTTCTTCCATTTAACATGTGTTTTGTGTCTTAGACATGACAAACATTGTGCATCCCTTAGCCTGAGCCTTCTCTGACACTGGCTGAATCACACGCCCACCACTTCAACATGGCATCACATCATCAAGTGGACTAGCCTCCTTATCACACCAACGTTCAGATAGCAAAGTAAACATTCAATCGTCAATGCCCGTTTAATGCCCATAGTCTACTGCTTGTCTGGAGCAACACAATATGACATTATGTGCTTGCTGGTACAATATATGATATATACACACACACAGAGTCAAGCGTTGATGACATCACACACTGTCCAGTGTTTACTGGTATGACATCACACAGTGTCAAGTGTTTACTGGTATGACATCACACAGTGTCAAGTGTTTACTGGTATGACATCACAGTGTCAAGTGTTTACTGGCATGACATCACACTCTGTCCAGTGTTTACTTGTATGACATCACACATTGTCCAGTGTTTAATGGTATGACATCATACATTGTGAAGTGTTTACTGGTATGACATCACACACTGTCCAGTGTTTACTGGTATGACATCACACACTGTCCAGTGTTTACTGGTATGACATCATACATTGTCCAGTGTTTACTTGTGTGATATCACACACTGTCCAGTGTTTAATGGTATGACATCACACACTGTCCAGTGTTTACTGGTATATGAAACGACGCTGTCAAGTGTTTACTGGTGTGATATCACACACACAAATGTACTCTGCTACAATTAAGTTGTTAGATCTTGCCAAATACTTTTCACAATTCTTAGTCTTCTCAAAGAGTCATTTTACTCCCCAATAAACCTCACAATAGTGTTTCCGATCTTTTAGTAGATTTCTGTGAATCAAAATCATCAAAAATAGAGAAACCAGAGAGACTTTGAATCTCCAAACAGGTCTCCAGTGATCGTTATGACAACCACCCTCAGTTCAAAACATGAAACTAAAAAACTACGAACGCCAAAGAAATCTGATCCCTAATGCTTAAACCCATACTATACCAAAAACATGACATTCTGTCTGTTTGAGTCTCTCACTCCATTGTAACATGACATCCTCATCAACTGGAGGCTGCATGCAGTACCACTATGTATAACTCTAACCTGCCATCTAGGGTCTGTGCCAAAATATCAAATATGGCTGTGCCTTAACTGAAGAAAAGTTTATGTCAATATGTATTAGTGTTGAGAAATATATTGAAAGTTTCAAATATTGTAATTTCAAATTAACACTAAATGTATGGGAAAGAACTGTTTACAGTGGTCTTATTGCAACAAGAATTGTCTCAACAAAACTAATGAAGGGATTCTTCAATCTATATTCATTCATCCAATGCTTTCAAATAAAAACAAAAAAATATTTCAAAACATTCCTAAATATTTCAACGGAATCCTGATTATACAACAAGTCTTAGATGCAATGTCGACTTTCTCCATTAGCTAATACTGAGGTACTTTGTTACTTCAGCTTGTAGTGTAAAACCAATACCTTTCTCACAGTGCAAGGTGATATTTAGCCAAGGGAAAGATCTTCCTCTGTTAAGGTAGGTAATCCTAACTACCAAACTACCATCCAAAGGAACAAGGAACAAAAATCACATTTGCAAACATCTGCATCTCCTAATATTTCAATTCTTTTGACAGACTGTTGATAGTTTAAATTAGAAGACGAGAGAGGCACAGGCCATGCATGTGGACAACCAGGAGTTGGAGTGACTCTGACGTGATGGAGGGTGAATAGAGCAGTGATGTTGTCATCTTCACAAACAGATCACATTCAGTAAAGGACTAGAATTACCACAAATATTTTTCCTTAAATAATGTTAAAAAAGACAGATTCACAACAAGATCAGACAAAATAACCCTTTTGTTTTTCTTCATCATCACATTACCGAGTCCAAGTCTCAGATAACACAACCCTCAGGAGAAACCTTGAACAACACAACATGGAACAGCATTAATGATCCTCCTCCGCGGCCAGGAGACTTGCTGCTGCAGTGTCTTCATCCTCATCACACTCTGCTGCAGTCCTGTGAACACGATCATCCTCAACCTCTCCGCTCTTAGCATTACGGTCCACCACCCTCCGCATCATTGTCCTCCTCGGCCCCACCACCCACCGCATCATTGTCCTCCATGGCCCCACCATGAACCGCGTCATTGTCCTCCTCGGCCCCACCACCCACCGCATCATTGTCCTCCTTGACCCCACCACCCACCGCATCATTGTCCTCCTCGGCCCCACCACCCACCGCATCATTGTCCTCCTTGACCCCACCACCCACCGCATCATTGTCCTCCTCGGCCCCACCACCCACCGCATCATTGTCCTCCTTGACCCCACCACCCACCGCATCATTGTCCTCCTCGGCCCCACCACCCACCGCATCATTGTCCTCCTTGGCCCCACCACCCACCGCATCATTGTCCTTCTCGGCCCCACCACCCACCGCATCATTGTCCTCCTCGGCCCCACCACCCACCGCATCATTGTCGTCCTCGGCCCCACCACCCACCGCATCATTGTCCTCCTTGGCCCCACCACCCACCGCATCATTGTCCTTCTCGGCCCCACCACCCACCGCATCATTGTCCTCCTCGGCCCCACCACCCACCGCATCATTGTCGTCCTCGGCCCCACCACCCACCGCATCATTGTCCTCCTCGGCCCCACCACCCACCGCATCATTGTCCTCTTCTGCCCCACCACCCTCCGCATCACAGAACTCCTCGTCCTCCTCCTTCTCACACTCAGGACAGTCTTCTGCAGCCTCATCTGATCCTTGCTGGGCCGAGTCAGACTCTGTTCTGTCTTCCACAACCCCGTCTGCAGGCTGTACTGAACCCTGGGCTGAGTCAGACTCCATTCTATCCGTCAAACCACCGTCTGCAGGCTGTACTGAACCCTGGGCTGAGTCAGACTCCATTTTATCCGTCAAACCACCGTCTGCAGGCTGTGCTGAACCCTTGAAAGAATCTGATTCAGTCCGTTCTTCCAAAACATTATCTTCTGACTCTGTCTTCTCCCCTGTTCCGAAAGCGGAGTCCGACTCTGGTCTTCCCTCCCTGGCTGGCGCCATGTCACATTCGGAGAAGTCCCCCTGCTCCTGTGGGGCCTGTGGGGCCTGTGCTTCATGCTCCTCAGGCTGCTGCTGCTCAGACTCGGCCTTGTCAGCCTCTTCCCTGTCGTTCTCGCTTGTATCTTCTCTCCGTGTTTTAACAGCTTCAGCCTCACTTTCATCACAACAAGCCTCACTCAAAGTCACTAGGTCCTCAACTATGCCCTGACAAATTCTGTGTCTGGCAGCCTCTGCGATGTCCTTGCTCTGCTCCATAAGCTGACCGACTATTTCTCCACACATACGAACACTGTCATCTGAAGCTCCTGGTTTCGGAGTTTCCGTTTCCCGGTCTGAATCAAGCATGACGTGTCCTCCAACTGAAATAACAAAAACATACTTGTCACGATCAGCCAACTAATGTCGGCATTAATAATTCCTGAACATGGAAGTTTTACAGACCCCGGTTTTAATGCCACAGTCCAGGATTTGGTAGTAACAGTACTTGAGTTACTCGACCCGTGAAGATTCCATGGTAGAATAGGTCTGCAGCAAACCATACTTGCCGTAAAAGGCGACTATGCTTGACGTAAAAGGCGAATAACGGGATCAGGTTGTCGATCCCAATGGCGTGGATCGATGCTCATGATGCCCATCACTGGACTGTCTGGTCCAGACACGATTACTTTACAGACCACCTTCATAAAGCTAGACTATTGCTGAGTAGGGTGTTAAACAACAAACAAACAAAACTTGAGTTACTCAGGTCTAACACAACGTAAGGGTGGCACAGTTAAGGGACATAACTCTGTACTGTGAGATTCAGCACCTTACAGTTGTTAACATCTGCGGTGGACAACAGAGGGAAATCTGGTTCAACTTGACCGGTGTTTGGTTCATGTGTTCATGTGTGGTGTAGGCTTACCTAGCTCAAGGGTGGTGACAGCTTACCTAGGTCCAGGGTGGTGAAGGCTTATCAAGATCCAGGGTGGTGTCGGCTTACCTAGCTCTAGGGTGGTGTCAGCTTACCTAGCTCCAGGGTGGTGTCAGCTTACTTATCTCCAGGGTGGTGTAGGCTTACCAAGATCCAGGGTGGTGTCGGCTTATCAAGATCCAGGGTGATGTCAGCTTATCAAGATCCAGGGTGGTGTTGGCTTACCAAGTTCCAGGGTGGTGTCGGCTTACCAAGATCCAGGGTGGTGTCGGCTTACCTAGCTCTAAGGTGGAGTCGGCTTACCAAGATACAGGGTGGTGTTGGCTTACCTAGCTCTAGGGTGGAGTCGGCTTACCAAGATTCAGGGTGGTGTCGGCTTACCAAGATCCAGAGTGGTGTCGGCTTACCTAGCTCTAAGGTGGAGTCGGCTTACTAAGATACAGGGTGGTGTTGGCTTACCTAGCTCTAGGGTGGAGTCGACTTACCAAGATCCAGGGTGGAGTCAGCTTACCTAGCTCTAGGGTAGAGTCGACTTACCAAGATCCAGGGGGTGTCCGCTTACCTAGCTCTAGGGTGGAGTCGACTTACCAAGATCCAGGGTGGTGTCGGCTTACCTAGCTCTAGGGTGGAGTCGGCTTACCAGGATCCAGGGTGGTGTTGGCTTACCTAGCTCTAGGGTGGAGTCGACTTACCAAGATCCAGGGTGGTGTCGGCTTACCTAGCTCTAGGATGGAGTCGGCTTACCAAGATCCAGGGTGGTGTCGGCTTACCTAGCTCTAGGGTGGAGTCGACTTACCAAGATCCAGGGTGGTGTCGGCTTACCTAGCTCTAAGGTGGAGTCGGCTTACTAAGATACAGGGTGGTGTTGGCTTACCTAGCTCTAGGGTGGAGTCGACTTACCAAGATCCAGGGTGGAGTCAGCTTACCTAGCTCTAGGGTAGAGTCGACTTACCAAGATCCAGGGTGGTGTCGGCTTACCTAGCTCTAGGGTGGAGTCGACTTACCAAGATCCAGGGTGGTGTCGGCTTACCTAGCTCTAGGGTGGAGTCGGCTTACCAGGATCCAGGGTGGTGTTGGCTTACCTAGCTCTAGGGTGGAGTCGACTTACCAAGATCCAGGGTGGTGTCGGCTTACCTAGCTCTAGGATGGAGTCGGCTTACCAAGATCCAGGGTGGTGTCGGCTTACCTAGCTCTAGGGTGGAGTCGACTTACCAAGATCCAGGGTGGTGTCGGCTTACCTAGCTCTGGGGTGGAGTCGACTTTCCAAGATCCAGGGTGTTGTCGGCTTACTTAGCTCTAGGGTGGAGTCGGCTTACCAAGATCCAGGGTTGTGTCGGCTTACCTAGCTCTAGGGTGGAGTCGACTTACCAAGATCCAGGGTGGTGTCGGCTTACCTAGCTCTAGGGTGGAGTCAGCTTACCAAGATCCAGGGTGGAGTCAGCTTACCAAGATCCAGGGTGGTGTCATCTTGCCAAGATCCAGGGTGGAGTCGGCTTACCCAGATACAGTGTGGTGTTGGCTTACCTCACTAAAGGGTTGAGTCAGCTTACTTAACTCCAGGGTGCTGTCAGCTTGCCAAGTTCCAGGGTGGTGTCGACTTATCAAGATCCAGGGTAGTGTCGGTTTACCTAGCTCCAGGGTGGTGTCGGCTTACCAAGATCCAGGTTGGTGTCAGCTTACCAAGATCCAGGTTGGTGTCAGCTTACCAAGATCCAGGGTGGTGTCCGCTTACCAAGATCCAGGTTGGTGTCAGCTTACCAAGATCCAGGTTGGTGTCAGCTTACCATGATCCAGGGTGGTGTCGGCTTACCAAGATCCAGGGTGGTGTCAGTTAACCTAGCTCTAAGGTGGAGTCGGCTTACCAAGATCCAGGGTGGAGTCAGCTTACCAAGATCCAGGGTGGTGTCAGTTAACCTAGCTCTAAGGTGGAGTCGGCTTACCAAGATCCAGGGTGGAGTCCGCTTACCTAGCTCCAGGGTGGTGTTGGCTTACCTAGCTCAAGAGTGGTGTCAGCTTCATGTGTGGTGTCGGCGGTCTGGTCAAGCATGGAGTGCCCAGTGGTGTTGAAGGTCAGCCCAAGGTCATTGGAGTCAACTGTTTTCAAAATAAAATGTGACATTGCTGAGAGCTGTGACTGAGCTGGGAAGTAACCAGATTAATTCATTATTATTAATACAGGTCAGTCATACAGGTCGGTGGAACACAGAATCATTAACGGCCGTAAACTTCCATGCATCTCAAAATCTGTTGTTTTGTGTTCAAGCTGAGCTCACCATGATCTGAGTCACATTCCTCCCCGAGAGAGTTTTCCCGATGGTAGGACACGTCGTTGAAGGACTGCTCTGAAACCAGTAGGACAGATGTTCATGCAAATGGAAAACAAATAAGATTCATCCTTTTCCAACATCAAATTGACGACCATGTGCCCAACATCACCTTGATGACAATGTGCCCAACATCACCTTGTTGACAACCTTGTGCCCAACATCACCTTGACGACCATGTACCCAACATCACCTAGTTGACAACCTTGTGCCCAACATCACCTTGACGACCATGTACCCAACATCACCTTGTTGACAACCTTGTGCCCAACATCACCTTGACGACCATGTACCCAACATCACCTTGTTGACAACCTTGTGCCCAACATCACCTTGACGACCATGTACCCAACATCACCTTGTTGACAACCTTGTGCCCAACATCACCTTGACGACCATGTATCCAACATCACCTTGACGACCATGTACCCAAAATCACCTTGTTGACAACCTTGTGCCCAACATCACCTTGACGACCATGTACCCAACATCACCTTGATGACAACCTTGTGCCCAACATCACCTTGACGACCATGTACCAAACATCACCTTGTTGACAACCTTGTGCCCAACATCACCTTGACGACCATGTACCAAACATCCATCACAGTTCAGGAATTCACGGCATGGATACAAGAATCAAGACTTCAGATCGACAACTAAATGCTTGAACTCAGGTTTTAGATCCACAAGGGATTGTGTGAACTAGGGTTTTAGATCTACAAAGGAATGTTTGAACAAGGGTTTTAGATGTACAAGGGAATGTTTGAACTAGGGTTTTAGATCCACAAGGGAATGTTTGAACAAGGGTTTTAGATCCACAAGGGAATGTTTGAACTAGGGTTTCACTTCAAGGGATTGTTTGAACAAGGGTTTTAGATCCACAAGGGAATGTTTTAACAAGGGTTTTAGATCCACAAGGGAATGTTTTAACAAGGGTTTTAGATCCACAAGGGAATGTTTGAACTAGGGTTTCACTTCAAGGGATTGTTTGAACAAGGGTTTTAGATCCACAAAGGAATTTTTGAACTAGGGTTTCACTTCAAGGGAATGTTTGAACAAGGGTTTTAGATCTACAAGGAAATGTTTTAACAAGGGTTTTAGATCCACAAGGGAATGTTTGAACTAGGGTTTCACTTCAAGGGAATGTTTGAACATGGGTTTTAGATCCACAAAGGAAATGTTTGAACAAGGGTTTTAGATACAAAAGGGAATGTTTTAAAAAGGGTTTTAGATCCACAAGGGAATGTTTGAACTAGGGTTTCACTTCAAGGGAATGTTTGAACAAGGGTTTTAGATCCACAAGGGAATGTTTGAACTAGGGTTTCACTTCAAGGGAATGTTTGAACATGGGTTTTAGATCCACAAAGGAATGTTTGAACTAGGGTTTCACTTCAAGGGATTGTTTGAACTAGGGTTTTAGATCCACAAGGGAATGTTTGAACTAGGGTTTCACTTCAAGGAAATGTTTGAACAAGGGTTTTAGATCCAAAAGGGAATGTTTTAAAAAGGGTTTTAGATCCACAAGGGAATGTTTGAACTAGGGTTTCACTTCAAGGGAATGTTTGAACATGGGTTTTAGATCCACAAGGGAATGTTTGAACTAGGGTTTCACTTCAAGGAAATGTTTGAACAAGGGTTTTAGATCCAAAGGGAATGTTTTAAAAAGGGTTTTAGATCCACAAGGGAATGTTTTAAAAAGGGTTTTAGATCCACAAGGGAATGTTTGAACAAGGGTTTTAGATCCACAAAGGAATGTTTTAACAAGGGTTTTAGATCCACAAGGGAATGTTTGAACTAGGGTTTCACTTCAAGGGATTGTTTGAACTAGGGTTTTAGATCCACAAGGGAATGTTTGAACTAGGGTTTCACTTCAAGGAAATGTTTTAACAAGGGTTTTAGATCCACAAGGGAATGTTTGAACTAGGATTTTAGATCCAGAAAGGAATGTTTGAACTAGGGTTTCACTTCAAGGGATTGTTTGAACTAGGGTTTTAGATCCACAAGGAAATGTTTGAACTAGGGTTTCACTTCAAGGAAATGTTTGAACAAGGGTTTTAGATCTACAAGGAAATGTTTGAACTAGGGTTTTAGATCCACAAGGGAATGTTTGAACTAGGGTTTTAGATCTACAAGGAAATGTTTCAACAAGGGTTTTAGATCCACAAAGGAATGTTTTAACAAGGGTTTTAGATCTACAAGGGAATGTTTGAACAAGGGTTTTAGATCCACAAAGGAATGTTTTAACAAGGGTTTTAGATCTACAAGGAAATGTTTTAACAAGGGTTTTAGATCCACAAGGGAATGTTTGAACTAGGGTTTCACTTCAAGGGAATGTTTGAACAAGGGTTTTAGATCCACAAAGGAATGTTTGAACAAGGGTTTTAGATGTACAAGGGAATGTTTGAACTAGGATTTCACTTCAAGGGATTGTTTGAACTAGGGTTTTAGATCCACAAGGGAATGTTTGAACTAGGGTTTCACTTCAAGGAAATGTTTTAACAAGGGTTTTAGATCCACAAGGGAATGTTTTAACAAGGGTTTTAGATCCACAAAGGAATGTTTGAACAAGGCTTTTAGATGAACAAGGGAATGTTTGAACTAGGATTTTACTTCAAGGGATTGTTTGAAGTAGGGTTCTAGATCCACAAGGGAATGTTTGAACTAGGGTTTCACTTCAAGGAAATCTTTTAACGAGGGTTTTAAATCCACAAGGAAATGTTTTAACAAGGGTTTTAGATCTACAAGGAATGTTTGAACTAGGGTTTTAGATGTACAAGGGAATGTTTGAACTAGGGTTTTAGATCCACAAAGGAATGTTTTAACAAGGGTTTTAGATCCAGAAGGGAATGTTTGAACTAGGGTTTCACTTTGAGGGAATGTTTGAACAAGGGTTTTAGATCCACAAAGGAATGTTTTAACAAGGGTTTTATATCTACAAGGAAATGTTTGAACTAGGGTTTTAGATCCACAAGGGAATGTTTGAACAAGGGTTTCACTTTGAGGGAAGGTTTTAACAAGGGTTTTAGATCCACAACGGAATGTTTGAACTAGGGTTTTAGATCTACAAGGAAATGTTTGAACTAGGGTTTTAGATCTACAAGGAAATGTTTGAACTAGGGTTTTAGATCTACAAGGAAATGTTTGAACTAGGGTTTCACTTTGAGGGAAGGTTTTAACAAGGGTTTTAGATCCACAAGGGAATGTTTGAACTAGGGTTTTAGATCTACAAGGAAATGTTTGAACTAGGGTTTTAGATCTACAAGGAAATGTTTGAACTAGGTTTTCACTTTGAGGGAATGTTTTAACAAGGGTTTTAGATCCACAAGGGAATGTTTGAACTAGGGTTTTAGATCTACAAGGAAATGTTTGAACTAGGGTTTTAGATCTACAAGGAAATGTTTGAACTAGGGTTTCACTTTGAGGGAATGTTTTAACAAGGGTTTTAGATCCACAAGGGAATGTTTGAACTAGAGTTTCACTTCAAGGAAATGTTTGAACAAGGGTTTTAGATCTACAAGGAAATGTTTTAATAAGGGTTTTAGATCCACAAGGGAATGTTTGAACTAGGGTTTCACTTTGAGGGAATGTTTTAACAAGGGTTTTAGATCCACAAAGGAATGTTTGAACTAGGGTTTTAGATCTAGAAGGAAATGTTTGAACTAGGGTTTCACTTTGAGGGAATGTTTTAACAAGGGTTTTAGATCCACAAGGGAATGTTTGAACAAGGGTTTTAGATCCACAAGGGAATGTTTGAACTAGGGTTTCACTTCAAGGAAATGTTTTAACGAGGGTTTTAGATCTACAAGGAAATGTTTGAACTAGGGTTTCACTTCAAGGGAATGTTTTAACAAGGGTTTTAGATCCACAAAGGAATGTTTGAACTAGGGTTTTAGATCTACAAGGAAATGTTTGAACTAGGGTTTCACTTTGAGGGAATGTTTTAACAAGGGTTTTAGATGCACAAGGGAATGTTTGAACAAGGGTTTTAGATCCACAAGGGAATGTTTGAACTAGGGTTTCACTTCAAGGAAATGTTTTAACAAGGGTTTTAGATCCACAAGGGAATGTTTGAACTAGGATTTCACTTCAAGGAAAAGTTTTAACGAGGGTTTTAGATCTACAAGGAAATGTTTGAACTAGGGTTTCACTTCAAGGAAATGTTTGTACAAGGGTTTTAGATCCACAAGGGAATGTTTGAACTAGGGTTTTAGATCTACAAGGGAATGTTTGAACAAGGGTTTTAGATCTACAAGGAAATGTTTGAACTAGGGTTTTAGATCTACAGGGAAATGTTTCAACTAGGGTTTCACTTCAAGGAAATGTTTGAACAAGGGTTTCACTTCAAGGAAATGTTTTAACGAGGGTTTTAGATCTACAAGGAAATGTTTGAACTAGGGTTTCACTTGAAGGAAATGTTTGAACAAGGGTTTCACTTCAAGGAAATGTTTTAACGAGGGTTTTAGATCTACAAGGGAATGTTTGAACTAGGGTTTCACTTGAAGGAAATGTTTTAACGAGGGTTTTAGATCTACAAGGAAATGTTTGAACTAGGGTTTCACTTCAAGGGAATGTTTTAACAAGGGTTTTAGATCCACAAAGGAATGTTTGAACTAGGGTTTTAGATCTACAAGGAAATGTTTGAACTAGGGTTTCACTTTGAGGGAATGTTTTAACAAGGGTTTTAGATGCACAAGGGAATGTTTGAACAAGGGTTTTAGATCCACAAGGGAATGTTTGAACTAGGGTTTCACTTCAAGGGAATGTTTGAACAAGGGTTTTAGATCCACAAGGGAATGTTTGAACTAGGATTTCACTTCAAGGACAAGTTTTAACGAGGGTTTTAGATCTACAAGGAAATGTTTGAACTAGGGTTTCACTTCAAGGAAATGTTTGAACAAGGGTTTTAGATCCACAAGGGAATGTTTGAACTAGGGTTTTAGATCTACAAGGGAATATTTGAACAAGGGTTTTAGATCTACAAGGAAATGTTTGAACTAGGGTTTTAGATCTACAGGGAAATGTTTGAACTAGGGTTTCACTTGAAGGAAATGTTTGAACAAGGGTTTCACTTCAAGGAAATGTTTTAACGAGGGTTTTAGATCTACAAGGAAATGTTTGAACTAGGGTTTCACTTCAAGGAAATGTTTGAACAAGGGTTTCACTTCAAGGAAATGTTTTAACGAGGGTTTTAGATCTACAAGGGAATGTTTGAACTAGGGTTTCACTTCAAGGAAATGTTTTAACGAGGGTTTTAGATCTACAAGGAAATGTTTGAACTAGGGTTTTAGATCCACAAGGGAATGTTTGAACTAGGGTTTCACTTCAAGGAAATGTTTGAACAAGGGTTTTAGATCCAAAAGGGAATGTTTTAAAAAGGGTTTTAGATCCACAAGGGAATGATTGAACTAGGGTTTCACTTCAAGGGAATGTTTGAACAAGGGTTTTAGATCCACAAAGGAATGTTTGAACAAGGGTTTCACTTCAAGGAAATGTTTTAACAAGGGTTTTAGATCCACAAGGGAATGTTTGAACTAGGGTTTCACTTCAAGGAAATGTTTGAACAAGGGTTTTAGATCTACAAGGAAATGTTTGAACTAGGGTTTCACTTCAAGGAAATGTTTGTACAAGGGTTTTAGATCCACAAGGGAATGTTTGAACTAGGGTTTTAGATCTACAAGGGAATGTTTGAACAAGGGTTTTAGATCTACAAGGAAATGTTTGAACTAGGGTTTTAGATCTACAGGGAAATGTTTCAACTAGGGTTTCACTTCAAGGAAATGTTTGAACAAGGGTTTCACTTCAAGGAAATGTTTTAACGAGGGTTTTAGATCTACAAGGAAATGTTTGAACTAGGGTTTCACTTGAAGGAAATGTTTGAACAAGGGTTTCACTTCAAGGAAATGTTTTAACGAGGGTTTTAGATCTACAAGGGAATGTTTGAACTAGGGTTTCACTTGAAGGAAATGTTTTAACGAGGGTTTTAGATCTACAAGGAAATGTTTGAACTAGGGTTTCACTTCAAGGGAATGTTTTAACAAGGGTTTTAGATCCACAAAGGAATGTTTGAACTAGGGTTTTAGATCTACAAGGAAATGTTTGAACTAGGGTTTCACTTTGAGGGAATGTTTTAACAAGGGTTTTAGATGCACAAGGGAATGTTTGAACAAGGGTTTTAGATCCACAAGGGAATGTTTGAACTAGGGTTTCACTTCAAGGGAATGTTTGAACAAGGGTTTTAGATCCACAAGGGAATGTTTGAACTAGGATTTCACTTCAAGGACAAGTTTTAACGAGGGTTTTAGATCTACAAGGAAATGTTTGAACTAGGGTTTCACTTCAAGGAAATGTTTGAACAAGGGTTTTAGATCCACAAGGGAATGTTTGAACTAGGGTTTTAGATCTACAAGGGAATATTTGAACAAGGGTTTTAGATCTACAAGGAAATGTTTGAACTAGGGTTTTAGATCTACAGGGAAATGTTTGAACTAGGGTTTCACTTGAAGGAAATGTTTGAACAAGGGTTTCACTTCAAGGAAATGTTTTAACGAGGGTTTTAGATCTACAAGGAAATGTTTGAACTAGGGTTTCACTTCAAGGAAATGTTTGAACAAGGGTTTCACTTCAAGGAAATGTTTTAACGAGGGTTTTAGATCTACAAGGGAATGTTTGAACTAGGGTTTCACTTCAAGGAAATGTTTTAACGAGGGTTTTAGATCTACAAGGAAATGTTTGAACTAGGGTTTTAGATCCACAAGGGAATGTTTGAACTAGGGTTTCACTTCAAGGAAATGTTTGAACAAGGGTTTTAGATCCAAAAGGGAATGTTTTAAAAAGGGTTTTAGATCCACAAGGGAATGATTGAACTAGGGTTTCACTTCAAGGGAATGTTTGAACAAGGGTTTTAGATCCACAAAGGAATGTTTGAACAAGGGTTTCACTTCAAGGAAATGTTTTAACAAGGGTTTTAGATCCACAAGGGAATGTTTGAACTAGGGTTTTAGATCCACAAAGGAATGTTTGAACTAGGGTTTCACTTCAAGGGATTGTTTGAACTAGGGTTTTAGATCCACAAGGAAATGTTTGAACTAGGGTTTCACTTCAAGGAAATGTTTGAACAAGGGTTTTAGATCTACAAGGAAATGTTTGAACTAGGGTTTTAGATCCACAAAGGAATGTTTGAACAAGGGTTTTAGATCTACAAGGAAATGTTTGAAGAAGGGTTTTAGATCCACAAAGGAATGTTTGAACAAGGGTTTTAGATCCAAAAGGGAATGTTTGAACAAGGGTTTTAGATCCACAAAGGAATGTTTTAACAAGGGTTTTAGATCTACAAGGAAATGTTTTAACAAGGGTTTTAGATCCACAAGGGAATGTTTGAACTAGGGTTTCACTTCAAGGGAATGTTTGAACAAGGGTTTTAGATCCACAAAGGAATGTTTGAACAAGGGTTTTAGATGTACAAGGGAATGTTTGAACTAGGATTTCACTTCAAGGGATTGTTTGAACTAGGGTTTTAGATCCACAAGGGAATGTTTGAACTAGGGTTTCACTTCAAGGAAATGTTTTAACAAGGGTTTTAGATCCACAAGGGAATGTTTTAACAAGGGTTTTAGATCCACAAAGGAATGTTTGAACAAGGCTTTTAGATGAACAAGGGAATGTTTGAACTAGGATTTTACTTCAAGGGATTGTTTGAACTAGGGTTTTAGATCCACAAGGGAATGTTTGAACTAGGGTTTCACTTCAAGGAAATGTTTTAACGAGGGTTTTAAATCCACAAGGGAATGTTTTAACAAGGGTTTTAGATGTACAAGGAATGTTTGAACTAGGGTTTTAGATGTACAAGGGAATGTTTTAACAAGGGTTTTAGATCCACAAAGGAATGTTTTAACAAGGGTTTTAGATCCAGAAGGGAATGTTTGAACTAGGGTTTCACTTTGAGGGAATGTTTTAACAAGGGTTTTAGATCCACAAAGGAATGTTTTAACAAGGGTTTTATATCTACAAGGAAATGTTTGAACTAGGGTTTTAGATCTACAAGGAAATGTTTGAACTAGGGTTTCACTTCAAGGAAATGTTTGAACAAGGGTTTCACTTCAAGGAAATGTTTTAACGAGGGTTTTAGATCTACAAGGGAATGTTTGAACGAGGGTTTCACTTCAAGGAAATGTTTTAACAAGGGTTTTAGATCCACAAAGGAATGTTTGAACTAGGGTTTTAGATCTACAAGGAAATGTTTGAACTAGGGTTTCACTTTGAGGGAATGTTTTAACAAGGCTTTTAGATGCACAAGGGAATGTTTGAACAAGGGTTTTAGATCCACAAGGAAATGTTTGAACTAGGGTTTTAGATCTACAAGGAAATGTTTGAACTAGGGTTTCACTTTGAGGGAATGTTTAAACAAGGCTTTTAGATGCACAAGGGAATGTTTGAACTAGGGTTTTAGATCCACAAGGAAATGTTTGAACTAGGGTTTTAGATCTACAAGGAAATGTTTAAACTAGGGTTTCACTTCAAGGAAATGTTTTAACGAGGGTTTTAGATCTACAAGGAAATGTTTGAACTAGGGTTTCACTTCAAGGGAATGTTTTAACAAGGGTTTTAGATCCACAAGGGAATGTTTGAACTAGGGTTTCACTTCAAGGAAATGTTTTAACGAGGGTTTTAGATCTACAAGGAAATGTTTGAACTAGGGTTTCACTTCAAGGAAATGTTTTAACAAGGGTTTTAGGTCCTCAAGGAAATGTTTGAACAAGGGTTTTAGATCTACAAGGAAATGTTTGAACTAGGGTTTCACTTTGAGGGAATGTTTTAACAAGGGTTTTAGATGCACAAGGGAATGTTTGAACAAGGGTTTTAGATCCACAAGGGAATGTTTGAACTAGGGTTTTAGATCCACAAGGAAATGTTTGAACTAGGGTTTTAGATCTACAAGGAAATGTTTGAACTAGGGTTTCACTTCAAGGAAATGTTTTAACGAGGGTTATAGATCTACAAGGAAATGTTTGAACTAGGGTTTCACTTCAAGGAAATGTTTTAACGAGGGTTTTAGGTCCTCAAGGAAATGTTTGAACAAGGGTTTTAGATCTACAAGGAAATGTTTGAACTAGGGTTTCACTTCAAGGGAATGTTTTAACAAGGGTTTAAGATCCACAAGGGAATGTTTGAACTAGGGTTTCAGATAAGTACCTTTGGTTGGTCAAAGTGCACATCATGATGATTATGAGTTTTAAGTTCAGACACACACAGAGAAAGAGTCCCACAGTGAAGCTGTCGACCCACCCATCTCCTCCATGATGTCTGCGTTCGCCTCCTCCATCTCCAGCTCCATCTCCACCAGCGACCCCGGCAGCGGCAGCGCACACCCCAGGTCCACCAGCTGCCGGTTGACCGTGGAGCTGCCGAGGTCCTCGCTGTCGTGGAGTCGCACGTAGTGCACACCCTCCTCAGACTGGGAAACCAGAAACGCAGCCAGCACCGAGTCACGCGCGATGTCTGGAAGGGGAAACAGCAACGGCATGTGAGGTGATGGTAAGTGTTTGTGTTTTATAAGCATATACTGCACATCATGAATACCAGTACTTCATGTAGTCAGCTTTCCTTGGGAATAAGTAAGGATAAGGAATAAGAACACTAACATGTAACAAAGTAATGTGGTGGTCTCAATATTTCGCAAAAAGGCAAATGAATGAAAGACTGTTACCATGGAAGTGGGTGATGGCGTCCTGTGACCACGCCCCATCGACAGGTGCCACGTCCGCAAGCTGACACTCGAAGCCATTCACAGGGACCTTGAGGAACTGGGGAGGCATCCTCCGTAGCTCCCCCCGCGCACAGCTTAGCGTCTCTTGGTAGTCCACCAAGTACACCTGGAGACCAGACACACATGAAAGTGGGGGATTCCTACACTTGAGATCAGACACACATGAAAGTGGGGAATTCCTACACTTGAGATCAGACACACATGAAAGTGGGGAATTCCTACACTTGAGATCAGACACACATGAAAGTGGGGGATTCCTACACCTGGAGACCAGACACACATGAAAGTGGGGGATTCCTACACTTGAGATCAGACACACATGAAAGTGGGGAATTCCTACACTTGAGATCAGACACACATGAAAGTGGGGAATTCTTACACCTGGAGACCAGACACACATGAAAGTGGGGGTTTCTACACCTTGAGATCAGACACACATGAAAGTGGGGGATTCCTACACTTGAGATCAGACACACATGAAAGTGGGGAATTCCTACACTTGAGATCAGACACACATGAAAGTGGGGGATTCCTACACTTGAGATCAGACACATGAAAGTGGGGGTTTCTTACACTTGAGATCAGACACACATGGATGTGGGGGTTTCCTACACCTTGAGATCAGACACACATGAAAGTGGGGAATTCCTACACTTGAGATCAGACACACATGAAAGTGGGGAATTCCTACACTTGAGATCAGACACACATGAAAGTGGGGAAATCCTACACTTGAGATCAGACACACATGGATGTGGGGGTTTCCTACACCTTGAGATCAGACACACATGAAAGTGGGGAATTCCTACACCTGGAGACTAGACACACATGAAAGTGGGGGTTTCTACACCTTGAGATCAGACACACATGAAAGTGGGGAATTCCTACACTTGAGATCAGACACACATGGATGTGGGGGTTTCCTACACCTTGAGATCAGACACACATGAAAGTGGGGAATTCCTACACCTGGAGACTAGACACACATGAAAGTGGGGAATTCCTACACTTGAGATCAGACACACATGAAAGTGGGGAATTCCTACACTTGAGACCAGACACACAAGAAAGTGGGGAATTCCTACACCTGGTGATCAGACACACATGAAAATGGGGGATTTGATTCAAGTTAGTTTTGACGCGATGCCTGAGGCCAGCACCTGAGACCTGAACCCACCTTGTAGACGGTGCCCTCCACCGCCACCATCTTCCCCCTGTACCAGACCTTCTCTCCCTGCTTCTCCACCAGACAGGGCTTGTCACACACCGGCTCCCAGTCCCCATCCCCCTCTGCTGCGTCCTCACTGTCAATGTACTTCCGAATACCCTCCATCATGACCTCCACTTGCTTGGTGACATCTGTAAGGTCAAGGACAAACTTGTCCAAGATGGAGTCCTGGCCCAACTCAATGCTGTAGTCCTTCTCCATCCCCAGCTGCAGATACTGGAAGCCGTCCTCCCTCTCAGCAGTCATCACCTTCTTGTCAGCTGCATCCCGCAACTCTGTGATGGGGAAGGGGTCTATAAATGCTTCAATACGCTGTAAAATAACATCTTCGTCATCCTCCTTGATTATTGCTAGCTGTTCTTGCACCAGTGTTTGACCAACCGACTTCTGATCACAAACCAGATCCACTTCAACACAGCTGCTGTCCAGATCAGAAATGACACTCAAAGTAACTTCCTTGTCCTCTACAAGCTTCTGAAAGCGAGAACAGCTCTCTTCTGTCCAGCCTTCACCATCATGACTGACTTCGGTCAAACAACAGCGGAAGGCCTGACAGGGGAGTTGAGAGTACTCGGGCTTCAAGACGAGGAAATCAGACACCGAGATGGTTTCTGACCTACCCCAGTCCACCATCTGAACATCACAGTCTGATTGCCTCACGGACACCAACCTGGCACGGTAACACTGTCCCCCTACTCGTGCCACGCCAACATGGCCGGCAGTCAGGTGTTCCACACCCACCACCTCAGACATGTCGGTGCAGGCAGTCTGCAGTTGCTCCGTGATAAGGTGAAGCTTGGTCACGGAGATGCTCAGCTGACAGAAGAAGTGGTCTGGAGACACAACATGGCTGACTATCACCTTATACTCTTCTCCTACATCCAAGACTGTCGGCCTGTAATCAAATGTTCATGAGTGAGTGGGGTAGATAGTGTGTTAGGCTCAACGCCTTTTTTTTCAGTTATATCCTAGTACACATAAAATCTCAAATGTTTATCATCTACTCAACACTCTCACATCTATCATCTGCTCAACAACCTCACACATATACCATCTGCTCAACAACCTCACACTTATACCATCTACTCAACAACCTCACACATATACCATCTACTCAACAACCTCACACATATACCATCTGCTCAACAACCTCACACATCTACCATCTACTCAACAACCTCACACATCTACCATCTACTCAACAACCTCACACATATACCATCTACTCAACAACCTCACACATATACCATCTGCTCAACAACCTCACACTTATACCATCTAATCAACACCCTCACACATCTACCATCTACTCAACAACCTCACACATATACCATCTACTCAACAGCCTCACACATCTACCATCTGCTCAACAACCTCACACATATACCATCTGCTCAACAACCTCACACATATACCATCTGCTCAACAACCTCACACTTATACCATCTGCTCAACAACCTCACACTTATACCATCTACTCAACAACCTCACATCTACCATCTACTCAACAATCTCACACATCTACCATCTACTCAACAGCCTCACACATCTACCATCTACTCAACAACCTCACACATCTACCATCAACTCAACAGCCTCACACATCTACCATCTGCTCAACAACCTCACACATCTACTCGACAACCTCACACATCTACCATCTACTCAACAACCTCACATCTACCATCTACTCAACAACCTCACACATCTACCATCTACTCAACAGCCTCACACATCTACTCAACAACCTCACACTTTTATCATCTCCTCAACAACCTCACACATCTACCATCTACTCAACAACCTCACACATCTACCATCTACTCAATAACCTCACACATCTACCATCTACTCAACAGCCTCACACATCTACCATCTGCTCAACAACCTCACACATCTACTCAACAACCTCACACATCTACCATCTACTCAACAACCTCACACATCTACCATCTACTCAACAGCCTCACACATCTACCATCTACTCAACAACCTCACACATATACCATCTACTCAACAACCTCACACATCTACCATCTACTCAACAGCCTCACACATCTACCATCTGCTCAACAACCTCACACATCTACTCGACAACCTCACACATCTACCATCTACTCAACAACCTCACACATCTACCATCTACTCAACAACCTCACACATCTACCATCTACTCAACAACCTCACACATCTACCATCTACTCAACAGCCTCACACATCTACCATCTACTCAACAACCTCACACAACTACCATCTACTCAACAACCTCACACATTTATCATCTACTCAACAACCTCACACATCTACCATCTGCTCAACAACCTCACACATCTACCATCTACTCAACAACCTCACATCTAGCATCTACTCAACAGCCTCACACATCTACCATCTGCTCAACAACCTCACACATCTACCATCTGCTCAACAGCCTCACACATCTACCATCTACGCAACAACCTCACACATATACCATCTACTCAACAACCTCACACATCTACCATCTGCTCAATAACCTCATACATCTAGCATCTACTCAACAGCCTCACACATCTACCATCTACTCAACAACCTCACACATCTACCATCTACTCAACAACCTCACACATCTACCATCTACTCAACAACCTCACACATCTACCATCTACTCAACAACCTCACACATCTACCATCTACTCAACAACCTCACATCTACCATCTACTCAACAGCCTCACACATCTACCATCTGCTCAACAACCTCACACATCTACTCGACAACCTCACACATCTACCATCTACTCAACAACCTCACATCTACCATCTACTCAACAACCTCACACATCTACCATCTACTCAACAGCCTCACACATCTACTCAACAACCTCACACATCTACCATCTACTCAACAACCTCACACATCTACCATCTACTCAATAACCTCACACATCTACCATCTACTCAACAGCCTCACACATCTACCATCTGCTCAACAACCTCACACATCTACTCAACAACCTCACACATCTACCATCTACTCAACAACCTCACACATATACCATCTACTCAACAACCTCACACATATACCATCTACTCAACAACCTCACACATCTACTCAACAACCTCACACATATACCATCTACTCAACAACCTCACACATCTACTCAACAACCTCACACATCTACTCAACAACCTCACACATCTACCATCTACTCAACAACCTCACACATATACCATCTACTCAACAACCTCACACATCTACTCAACAACCTCACACATATACCATCTACTCAACAACCTCACACATCTACTCAACAACCTCACACATCTACCATCTACTCAACAACCTCACACATTTCACATCAGCAGAACATACTTGATGACTTCCTCCGCTGATTCCCCCGTTTGCCCTGTGTCTGGCTCCAGTACCAGCTTGATAGGGGTGTCCAGTGAGTCCGAGAAGATGCGCTTCACTTTGCGGCTCACAGTGACAGGTGTGGCGGCGTCCACGCCGAGGCTCTTCTCCAGTAGCACCTGGTTCACCGCCAGCCCCATGTGCAGCAGATGGACGACGCAGCTGCCGTCTTCCCCAACCTTCAAGATGTCCATGATCAGCGTCCTAGGACAAAGAACATTTTTTGTTTGACGCCGCACTCAGCAATATGTCAGATAAATAATCAAGTATGGTGTCTGATTGATAGGGGGAACAATCTAAGCCACTCCATCAACCAGCCGACCTGTCTGGTCGCCTCTTATGACCAGCATCGGCTGCTGGGACCTCCATATTATGCATTTAGTTTCCATAAACCAAAATAAAACAAGCATGAAATACTCATATCCCCCGCCAATATGACATGTCCGGTTGTGTGCAGTGCATTAGCTCCTGTGAACTATGTTCACTGGGCATTTTTGTAAATGGCCTGATTCCAGCACTAAACAAAGTTATTACTGGTGTTGTTTTGCCATCTGCAGTTTATGATAGAATACGTGACTGTATTTGTAATGAGTAAGGATGAGACATACGGACGAACAACTTCTTTAATACAATTAGGAGCTATGTTGCGGTGTAGGTTCTAACACCGTTATGAAGCAAGTGAAGTACAGAGTATCGTTGACAAGAATATATACAGGATAGGAGGCAGTGTTTATACAGTTGGGTGGGTTTAAGATCAGTTACACTGTTGTATTTGTAATGAGTTGTGTTATTACTTAAACAATAATCAGAGAAGTAAGGGAGTTCTTACTTTACTTAGAGATCAATGAGAGCAGGGGCACCATGAGGTGTACTGAGAAGTACAGCACCAATCATCTGATGATCTGAGTAGTAGACTGGAGTCTGGAATGCTACAGCACTGGCATGAACAGTAAACAACAAGTCCAGTGTAGCTCCAAGACAGTGAGTTGGAGAGTGAACGAGTTGAGTGCGTCATTTTCCGCACATTAAAGAAATCTTCAAGTTTCAGTTTTTCACTCAGATGACAGTTGAAGTCCCCATTAACTAGGACATGTTCACATTCATGCTGCTTTGAGAGATTCTGAAGTTTCTGCATGAAGTTAGTCAGTGAATGCAACAACCGTGTCCATGACACTTTTGGAGGAACACACAAGAAAGGAAATGTATTCAATACTACGAGATGACATAATGTGCCAAGTTTGGTGAAGAAATATGGTACGTTTTTCAAGATCTGCTCCAGAAACGAGGACTACCACCATTTTCAGTCTAAGTCGAAGTCGTTGCCATGGAAACTCGAAAAATAATTTTTTTAAATCCCAAACTATCAAAAGGCACCAGTCCACCACTAAACCTATCTATGTGCCAAGTTTGGTTAAGATATCTCTCATGGTTTTTGTGTTCTGCTCCGGAAACAAAATGTGACGGACGGACAGAAGGATGGACGTACAGCACCTATTCCTATATCCCCTTTCCACTTAGAGGCGGAGGATAATTAAGCCAATCAACTATCCATATAACAGTCTACTGCTTCCTGATTGGCTGATAACAGAATGGGAGGAGGTCGTGTTGCATTATTGCTCTGAACGATGTCACAAATTTCGTAGTGTTGTCTACAGTTATTTTTGCGTTGATGATTAAAATCTATAGTCTGTGAAGTGATAATTATTTATTTACTTATTTATGATAATTGACTTCAAAATGTTTTAGTGTTAATTGACTTACAGAGTTTACTTTTATATGCAAATATCACACAAAATACTGCAGTCAATTCTTAAATGAGAACCAGTGATCTAAACTAACATAAGTCCACTAGTCTGAGACTATCCCCCTTTTCCCTGAGGTACATGGCAACTCTGTAGCAGATCATTTTGCGAACCAGTGAAAATAATTATCTATTTATCTGTGAACCACAAAAAGTATTGTACACCTTCATAGCCCCTCCCAGCATCTGTACCTGTTTGTTTGTTTGTTTGTTGTTTAACGCCGCACTCAGCAATATTCCAGCTGTCTGTAAATAATTGAGTCTGGACCAGACGATTAGTGATTGATATCACGAGCATCGATTTAAGCAATTGGGATACGATGACATGCATCTATCAAGTTAGGAAGCCTGACCACCCGATCCCGTTACCTGATTGTAAACAACTCACTTGTCTGCAGTCAGCTCTCCGAACAACTCGATGGCTGCTGGGCTCCAGACACCCTCCGCAGCGCGGACCCCGGCCAGGGAACACAGTACAGTCTGAGCTGGCAGCGTCTGGAACTGTTCCGGGAGCTGCCTCACAGCAGAACACGCCACAGTGTCTGATGTGCCGAAGTCCACGCAGAACACCCGACACTGTCCTTCCTTCACCCAGCACACCTTGCCTCGACACCAGGCCTCGTCATCACCGCATGCACACGCACACATCTGTCTTGACTGCAGAGCTTCTATTACCATGTCACCTTCTGCCAGATCATTGTAAAATTCAAACATATTTTCCGTCAACTCGTCCACACCATGCTTCGAGCTTTCAGATCGGATGTAGAACTCACTCGGTGTGACAGTGTGGATGATGTGGATCGAGATTCTCTGGCCCTCTTGAAGTTCCATGACAGTGTATGGATATGGACTTGTGTCCAATTCTTCAATGTCAGTTAAAATTTGGTCTTTTGGGGAATTATCAGAAACGACACTATCTACACAACTTCTACCACCACCCTCTGTGACTGCTTCAACCCCCTTGCTATCTACACAACTTCCACCACCACCCTCTGTGACACAGCACAGCCCATCATTAAGCAGCTTCTTCTTCACATCGACATCACCATCATACAACTCCACACTGTACCGAACATCCCCGTCTCTCAACCTCTGCACAACCTCCAGCGACAACACCTTCTCATTGGTGACCTCGAACAGGGTATCCATGGCGGCATCTTCCTTGCCGTCGACCACGGCCAGACAACACAGCTTGCAGCTCACGGCCTGCACCGGTAGCTTCAGGTGCTCCGGCTTGATGGCGTAGATGTTTGCCTTGACCACTACATCCGAGTTGCCATAATCCACAAACTGCACCCTGCATGTCTCCTGGCTAACAGTCTTGACCGTGCCGCGGTACCACTGCTCGTCTTCAGCGTACCGGGCAATCACAGCACATCCCTCCTTCAGCCAGCCCTGCGTTGCTTGTGGAGTCTCATAGCCTTCACTTATTGCTGCTGCTACTTCAGCGAGGCTGTGCTCCGCTGTGACCGTCTGCACCCAGAAGTTGAGGACAGAGTCCACGTGGCTGACGTAGACCTGCACTCTCTCCCCTGGGACCAGCTTCATCTGCCGGAAGCCACCTGCTGATATCAAAAGACAAAAGGGTGAGATTTTATTTATCCTCCAACATCATTCTCCCATCTTCTTCAGTTTGTAGACAGTAATAAGCAGTGTCTTAAGTGTAAAAAGTACTGTTAACAGCTTCAGTAGCAGAGCCATTAGTGATGTCTACAATGTAGATATCGCCTGAAGTCACCCAAGCGATATCTCCTGTGAGAGCCAGTTCTGCAGCGGTATCTACAATGTAGATAAAACTTACACTCGACGGCAGATGTGTAGATATACTACTCAAAAGAGGTTTAAGACCAAATCTTTCCATATTACCATTGTCATTCTTTAACTTCTTTTGAAGTTGCATCAGGGCCACTGGAATTGACAGCTACTTTAATTCACTCAACAACATAGTCACAAACTATCTCAGGTCTGGAAACAAATCAATGTTTAAACGTCTGTAATGTAATGTCATCAATTCCCTTGGCCCCAATGCAACTGTGTGTGAGCTACTCAAGAGAAGTTAACAATTGACAATAGTAATATGAAATGATGGGATGTTCTTAACTTCATCTGAGTAGTATATGTATACAGCATTACATTCATACTAGCATAGCAAACTAGGCAACAAGCTAATTTGGTATTCCAAAATTAGATTTCTTCCAGTTTTGTTTCAGATGACGCAAGGTTTGCCCTGGGGGCCATTATGACCCCCTTGCTGAGATACATGGCCTTATGGGCCTTTGTTGGGGGTCATGTTTACACAATATTGACTGATGTCGTATTTCATAATAAAGTACCTATAACTGGATTTGAAGCCCTGTTTGCCCCATTTATGTTTCTAGGTTTGTCTGCACATACCTGCGCTTGTCGCTTTCACCAAAGTGGTAAAAGTCGAGACCTGCATCACTTAATGCTTTCCTCCCACATTAAGCCGACACCCTGGAGATGTATGTTTGTAATAAATAAAAATATTTTCTTCCACTGACCCTGTCTTTAAATCCTATTCAAAGTATTTATGTACTATATATGTTGTTGTTGATCTAATTAAATCCTATTTAAAGTATTTATGTACTATATATGTCGTTGATCTAATTAAATCCTATTTAAAGTATTTATGTACTATATTTGTCGTTGAATACACAGTGCCATTTAGAAAGTGGTCAAATGTAACAAATGTTATATTTGGGATAACACTTTCTTAGTAAAGTACAGATTCTCATACTTTCTGTCCGGGATTCGAACCCACACTTGCCAGAGTGAGGCACCTAATCGCCAGCACACAAAGTCAGCGATCTAACCCACTCAGCCAACGAGGCTTCCACAAAAATGAAAGTCCGACAACTGGTAGTTAGATCACGTACTTTGAGTACCCCTCTGACAAGTGTAAATTGTTTCATTTTTGTGGAAGCCTCGGTGGCTGAGTGGGTTAGATCGCTGACTTTGTGTGCTGGTGATTAGGTACTGGTAGGGTTGCAACGGGTACTCGAGTACCCGATAACAGGTCGGGTAGCTTAGGACTCAAGTCCAATTTTCAGGACTCGAGTACCCGTTCAGGGGAGATAGCTCCAATCGCCTTTCGTAACTCGTAAGTCACTTCAAAATGGGAGACAAAGCGGACAAACGTTCAAATGTTTTAGAAAAGCCATGCAGGCATTTAATAAAAAACATAATACCTTAGAATAGATCAATAGATGTTTGATTACCTTTTATTCGCAAAAGCATTACAAACAAATGGGACAACATTGAACTACGGGTACTCGAGTCCGGTTCGGGTATTGTCTGCCGGGTACTCGAGTTCAATTTTCGTACCCGGTCGCAACCCTACGATTAGGTGCCTCACTCTGGCAAGTGTGGGTTCGAATCCCGGGAAAGGACATAACCCCCAACAAGTAAGAGAATCTGTACTTTTCTAAGAAAGTGTTATCCCAAACATAACATTTGTTATATAAGTCGTGGTTATACTAATTAAATCCTACTTTACAAATTTATGTACTATATATATATGTCGTTGTTGATCTAATAAAATCCTATTTAACGTATTTATGTACTATATGTCGTTGTTGATCTAATTAAATCCTATTTAAAGTATTTATGTACTATATATGTCGTTGATCTAATTAAATCCTATTTAAAGTATTTATGTACAATAAATGTGTCGATCTAATTAAATCCTATTTTACGTATTTATGTACTATGTGTCGTTGATCTAATTAAATCCTATTTAAAGTATTTATGTACAATATATGTCGTTGATCTCATTAAATCTTATTAAAGTATTTATGTACAATATATGTGTCGATCTAACTAAATCCTATTTAAAGTATTTATGTACAATATATGTTGTTGATCTAATTAAATCCTATTTTACGTATTTATGTACAATATATATGTCATTGATCTATTTAAATCCTTTTCAAGTATTTATGTACTATGTGTCGTTGTTGATCTACATAAATCCTATTTAAAGTATTTATGTACTATATACGTTGTTGATCTAATGAAATCCTATTTAAAGTATTTATGTACAATATATGTCCTTGATCTAATTAAATCCTATTAAAGTACTTATGTACTATATGTGTCGTTGATCTAATTAAATCCTATTTAAAGTATTTATGTACAATATATGTCGTTGTTGATCTAATTAAATCCTATTTTACTTATTTATGTACTATATATATATGTCGTTGTTGATCTAATTAAATCCTATTTAAGTATTTATGTACTAAATATGTCGTTGTTGATCTAAATAAATCCTATTTTATGCAAAAACAATTGATAAATGGCCATTAACTACTAATTTCGCATCATTCTGCATCTATGTATGCCGTCTGCCCCTTACTGTTGGCCGCCTCTGTGATCTCCTCCTGAAGCAGCTGCAGAACGCCGACATCTTCGTCCTCCAGCTTCACCTCCACACTGTACGCCGGGGCCCACGTCTTGAACGTCACCGTCAGCCTCTTCTCCTTCACAGCCTCGTCAAACGTCTCCACTAGCGACTGTGACCAGGCCTTCACTCCGGCCAGCGTGCAGTGATAAGCTAGAGGATGGGTTGACATGTTGCCAGCTGTCAGCACAGCCAGTCTCTCCATCATCAGAACATCTGTGTTACCGTAGTCCACAAAGCGTACTGTGACCTGCTCCTCAGCAGTCGACTCCACGACCGCTCTGTACCAAGTGTCATCTTCAGTGAACTTGGCGCAGCACACCATGCTAGGTTTCAGACCAAAGATCCTCTCTCCACCAGTTTCGGAATATTCTGCTTGTAGAGCTTCTGTCAACTCTGTCAGCTTGTCCTCTTCACTGGACAACTGAAGGTAGAACGACCCATCCACTTCCATGTACGCCAGGAACCCAGTGTGAGTCCCGCTAACGTTTTGGTCCGGGAAACTGGGAGGTGCTGGTGTGTCTCCTGTGTCTGGGGAACTGGTGACCGACACTCTCCGCATGGCGGGTTCTTCATCTAACAGCTCCAGCCCCACACTTCTCGTTAACTCGACTTTATAGGGAGCTGTCTGTGACAAAAACTGGACATTCATTGTTTTCCCATCGGTCATGCTGACAAACTTGTCCCTCTGCTCATCCGTCCAGCTGGTGAAATCCTTGAGGATACATTGATAAGCATAGGGAGCAATGAGCATGAACTTCCTAGGAATCGCTTGTACATAGGCTGAGTTCACTCTCTTGGAAAAACCGACATCAATGAAGTCCACCTGAACACTGCTTCCCTCAATGTCCTTCACCATACCCCTCTGCCAGGACTGGTCCTCCGGGAACCTGGCACAACATGGCTGTCCATTCTGCAGAGCATCAAGCTTATCAATTGTACCTTTTGCATAGACAGATTTCAGGTCCTCTTCAATTTTCCTCAAGTCTGCTTCGTCCTTGAGGAGCTGTACATAGAAGGTTCCATCGGAGGAGATGTTGGACACGACTCCAGGTTGTACCTGACTTGGGGTTTTCTGCGCCGGGGGCCGACTCGGACAGAGGATCTCCGCTAGATCCTTTCCCCGCTGAATCTTCATCACAGCAGTGTAAGGGATTTCCTGAGAAACAAACTTGGCACCGATTTCTTTATCAGCAGCTTCTTCTCCCAGCACATGCTGGAGCTCCGACGTGAGAGTTCCGACGCCGTTGAGGCGGCAGCAGTAGGCCATGGGAGCCACACCTAACAGCTCTCTGCTCAGCTGTTTCAACTTCGATGGAGCAACAACATCTGAGTTTCCAAAATCCACAAACACCACAGACACCTTGTCGCCTACCACCTGTGTAACTTGTGCACGGTACCATGTGCCATCGTCCGAGAACAATGCCCCACAAGCGAGACCTACAGCTGGCAACACGGCGTTAATGGGCAACTTCTCAATCTTGTTGCTGAAGGCCAGGACTGTATTCAGGACCTTGGTCTGCTGCAGATATACATCACTTCCTTCCACGTGGGAGATGCAGGTAACAATTTCCTCACCTGGGACAGTTTGGGGTACATAGACTTGTTCCCCAGGGGGAATCTTCTCTAGTGTCTGCGCTGCCTTCTCTGGAGGTGATCCAAAAGGTCTCTTTTGGTTTCCCCTAGATTCCTGCCTTGATGGAGGTGACCCAAAGGATCTGGTTTGTTTGCGAGGTTCTTCCCTTGGTGGTGGAGAACCAAAAGGTGTTCTCTCAGAATGAACATTTGACGAAGGAGATCCAAATGATTTCTTGGGAGACTGCGTCTTTCTTGGACTGTCCCGCGATTGAGGGGGTGAAAATGCCTTCTTTGGAGAAGCATGATCAGATCTGGGGGGAGATGTAAAGTTATTTTTAGGGGGTGACGTGAAGTTATTTCTAGGGGGAGAGGGGGAGCTAACAGACCTCCTGGGGGGTGACGTAAGATCTGGCATCAGATGCTTCATGAGATTCTGAGAGCCATGGCTCAGTTCCACTGTGTATGGTGCCGTCTTGGTGACAAATCGGACAGTGAGCTCCTTGTCTTCCGTGACTTCAGAGAACTTCTGCTTCTGGTCTCCCTGCCATGTTGCCATGCCCTGCAGCCTGCACTGAAACGCTAGTGGTGGAACTGTGAAAAAGTCCACTTCTAGAGACTTTACACTTTCTTTACTGATGGTATCAGAGTTGCCGAAGTCTACAAACCGAACACGCACTGTTCCCCCTTGTACACTCTCTATGACTGCTCGGTACCAGGCGGCATCCACCGTGAACTTGGCACAACATGGCGTCCCCTTGACACTGGAGGTCAGTGCACTCACCCCGTCGGAGTTATACAGCTCCTGAAGTCTCTCTGAGAGCTCGGTGACCAGGTCCTCTGCGGACGACAGCTGCACATAGAAGATCCCGTTCTCTTCCACGTGCGTCACGTAGGCTGAGTTGGGCTGGGAGGGGACGGTCTGGGGGTTGTAAATCAGGGACAACTCGCTATTCTCTGGCCCATTCATATCGGTCTTTAGGAAGCCTTTCTCTTGCAACTTCTGCACCACATCTACACCATCAACTAACAACACAACATCCTTGCCTTGCTTGAAGGTACATGTGATTTCTTTCTCTGCTGTTAAAGTTTCAAAGTAGGCAATAGCATCCTTTGTCCACACTCCGGCCACTGGGTCAGCCTGTTCAAGGGCACACTCAAGAGCATAGGGTCCTGGTGAGAGCATGTTAGGAGAGAGGATCTTAATATCTTCCCCCTTTACGACATCCGAATTGCCGTAGTCGACAAAGTGAACGGTTACATTATTTCCTTGAGAAGACGTCACCCTGCCTCGGTACCACTGTCCATCCTCGGAGAACCGAGCACAACATGGCTGACCACACTGTGGCTCATCCAGCAGTGTGCCCGCTCCGTATCCATAGATACCAGTCAGTTTCTCCATCAGTCCTTGCAGGTCGCCGTCAATGTGAGACAGATGAACGTAGAACTGCCCCGGACTTTCTGTCAGGCATACAAACACTTGCTGTGTCTTGCCAGCGGGCCGATGAGGCGCCGGGTAGTCCAGTCGTCTGGAGGCCGAGGGTCGGGCAGATTTTGGTGGAGAGTCTTGGAGGGCTGGAAACATTTTCTTCATGGTCTCTGTGATGGATTGTCCAGACAGTGCCACATCCACGACATGTGCATCCCTGTCAACTGCTGCCACCGTCAGCTGCACTTCTTTCTCTGTCACAAGGTCATGGAATGTGTCGATCATCTCCACACTGGCGCCAGAGGTCAAGGCCAGCTTACAGTGAATGGCTTGTGTGGGGAGTGTAAGGAACTGGGAACCAATCGCACAAACATTACTTGGAATTGCCAACTCGGAATTGCCGTAGTCCACAAAAAAAACATTGACACCACTTTTGTCGACGTGTTGCACCTGAGCACGGTACCAGGACAAGTCCTCGCTGTACTTGGCAACTCCTGCCATGGAAGGCTGAGGGCTTGGCAGCTGGATGGCGTTGCCCTGATTGTAGAAGCCTTCCAGTTCCTCCATCAGATGGTCCAACTGAGGCATCATGTTTGACAGCTGGAACCAGAAACTGTCGAGGGAATCAATGTGCGACACAAACCCTGTCTCGGTCTGACCCACACGTACAGACACTGTGTTAGGGAACTTCATCATGGCTGCAGACGACTTCATGACAGCAGGGGACTTCATCATGGCTGCAGGGGACTTCTTCGATTCAGACGCACTCTCTTTCACTTGTTGGGCAACTCCTGCTGACACAATTTCTGCTCCCACATCTTGACCCTTCACCTCCAGTTTCACTGTGTAGGACCCATTCTGTTGTGACATGAAGGTACACACAGCACCGTCTTTAGTAATGTCCTCTAGGACATATTTGGTATTGTCTGTCCAAGCTGGAGACGAGGCGAGTGGCCGGACTCCATTAAGACTGCACTGAATGGCTTGCACAGGTACGTTGGTAATGTGGGGAGACACTTCCTTCAAGGTGTCTGCATTCACAGTGTCACTGTTCCCAAAATCCACAAACAGGACATCGACCTTCTTGCCCCTCATTGTGGTGACCAGTGCACGGTACCACGCATCGTCCTCACAATACTGGGCGACGACCGCCATACCAGGGAGGATGCTCCGGACTGGCGTTGCCTCAGCGGAGTAGATCTCTTGCACCTTCTCCACAAGGTTGTCCAGCTGTGTCTGACTGCTGCTTAACTGAACCCAAAATAGTCCAGGATTTTCCACCCAAGACACAAACACTTCTGCTTGACTAGTCAATGTTATATCAGGCCTAGGAAAGGTTAGTTGCTTAGCTATATGCACAGGCACTCTCGGAATGTTACTTTTAATCAAGGTCCCATGACTGGCTTCTGCCATTCTCTCTGCAATGTCAAAACTCTCGACAGGATCCTTCAAGCGCACAGGAACCCTTCCATCAACAGTCCTCCCATCCGGGACAGCCAGCAGATGCTTGTCAAGGGTAAGAGATTCAAACATCTCCGCCGAGGCATCACTCCAGGCTTGAGAGCTGCTCTTCAAATTGGATAACATGCATTTGATAGCTTGAGCTGGTTCACTTCGAAACACAGGTTTCAGATCCTTCACAGAACTCAGAGGAATCCTCTCCGTGTTGCCATAGTCAATAAAATACACCTCCATCTCATCCCGGTCCACAGTCTGAATCACTCCTCTGTACCACTGAAGGTCTTCCGAGAATCTGGCTGCACACAACATTCCTGCTGAAGCTGTCTGAAGACTGAGCTCGGCGGGACCCAGCTGGTTGTACTCCTTGTTCAGCTGAGTGGTCAGACCATCGAGTCGACTGGCAGAGTTAACAAGCTGGCACCAGAAGCTGCCGGGAGTGTACGCATACACCACCACGACTTCATTATGGCCTGAGTACAGCTCCACTGTGGGGGGATTTCCCTTACTAACTTGAGACGATGCTCCCCCTGCATCAACTGGGATTGAAGCTGGAGTGCCATTGGAGTTCAAGGTCACCCGCATGTCTGCGTCCCCCTGACCAACGTGTATCTTCCTGGTGCAGCCCGCCGAGACCTCTTCGATGCAGGTTGTATTTGTACTTGCCCCAAAGTCTACATTGATGTTCTTCCCTGCAGGACTAACCAGTTCTACGGAGAGAATTCCTTTCTCTGGTTTCATCCCCCTGAATGTGGCTGTGAACGTCTGGTCCAGGGCCAGGTCCTCGAACTGGGCAGTGAACTCGGGCGGCCAGAAGCCTTGTGTGGAGGTGACCCCACTCAGTCCACAGTTGACTGCCATTGGTTGCAGAGCCAGGTAGGCTGGCTGGATGTCCTTCACCTTCTCCGCTGAGATGCACTCAGAGTTGCCATAGTCTATGAACCGCACTTCCACCATCCCACTTTTCAGAACACCTACAACATGATAGACGTAAAGACATCAAAAGCTGATCGTCAATTTGTTTCAACGCAATGGATAGTTGAACGTTCGTGTTTGAGAACTTACACTGCACATGTGGAACTGATGGAGTATTTCTTCTTACCTTTGTTTAACATTGTTTGCTGACATATCTTGTCAATTAGTACTGTTTTTTCGTCCTAAAAGAAATCAAATAAGACCCTTCTCCTTTGTTTGGTTGGAAATGTAAACATCCTTCATCACATGTTTACATTCCCCCATCCCTCCCGTGGAGCTGAGTCTTATCAGAATGATGTCTCCCTCTGTACTGCTTCTCCATCACATGTTTACATTCCCCATCCCTCCCGTGGAGCCGTGTCTTATCAGAACAATGTCTCCCTCTGTACTGCTTCTCCATCACATGTTTACATTCCCCATCCCTCCCGTGGAGCCGTGTCTTATCAGAACAATGTCTCCCTCTGTACTGCTTCTCCATCACATGTTTACATTCCCCATCCCTCCCGTGGAGCTGAGTCTGATCAGAATGATGTCACCCTCTGTACTGCTTCTCCATCACATGTTTACATTCCCCCATCCCTCCCGTGGAGCCGAGTCTTATCAGAACAATGTCTCCCTCTGTACTGCTTCTCCATCACATTTTATGGATTTCAAACTCATTTCAAAAGTGAGGTAGGCCAATTTTATTTTTTTTTAAAAAGCCTCAGATTTATTTTCTTGAATTTTGTCCTTAAAAGTTAGGTAGGTATAAATAGAATACTCCGGAGTAACAAAATTAAAACAACTCAATTTTTCAAGAACATTTTATCATATCCCTGGCACTCAGCTTGTGCACAAATGGCAATATAACAATATTCATGTCATGGGTGGAAATGCATAAAAGACCCTGCTATGTTGGCAGCATGGGCGACGTTTAACTCTTTCAACACCAGCCAACCAGAAGATTACTTATCATAAATTATAGATGAAGCCAACAACAGGTCTAATTAATCCTATTGTTTATAAATATGAAAGTAATGTGTATTACATTATTTAAATAATTCATGAACAACTTCATAAAGTTTGTTTTAAATAAACATAATGTAAGCTAAAACATTCATAATGTCCTGATTAAGGACCAATGAAGCAAAATTTTCACAATTTTTCGGCCAATATAAAATTTTACAAAATCCACATACCTATTTCTTTTATATTTTTTATTTATTTACGTAGTCGGAACATTATTTCAAAAATAATTAAAAATAATATCTGTCATCACTCGTTTCCCAACGATAGTAGCTGTCCGCTCACTAACATGAGGAAATACCTCCGATTTCGAAGCTTTGTATGAATAACACATACCTTGAAGGCTGCCATGTCAGTATACATTAAAAAAACTTACATTGTTTCACCGACATAATCTGCTACAAGATTCATGATTGGTCAAATTTAAGCACGTGACCTAAGGCAGCCAATCAAATTACAGCAATGGTACTGTCCTCGTGTATGATAATTTTTAGACTTTGACGAAAGGTTTGGGTTAAATCATGTTATTCTCCACATTTTAAGCATGAAATCTCGATCTATTTTAAAAATATGGAACTTCATGGATGCATAGTGCTGGGTTACGAGCTGTGACAAATTTTTCTTATGCATATATTTTGGCATTAAAGACATCGTGTCCGAGCTGAGAAATCGAGGCGACGAAAGCTGAGATGTCATTTGACTTACATTAAACGCGATCGCACGAAAAGATGGAAATAATAACTTAGATGTCACTTTGGCAACTTTTAGATATATTTTTGCTGATTTTATTACTTTGCATAATATATTTAAAGATTTGCTTGAAACGTCTTTATTTTGCTGTTTGACATGTTCGATGAGGACCCGTTGTCAAAGTGTGTCCGAGAATTTTGTTTTCAATAACACTGCGGGAAATAGTGAATAATTTTTTAATCTATTGATAAAAAATGATAAAATCAAATGGAATACATATTTCAGACACTGTGAAATGTGATAGATTTAATAAATGAATGATATGACAAGTAGGTTAATAAAACTTGGACGGTCTACCCTGCGGTGTCTGGTGACTCGTGGCTTCTTGGCCGGTGTACCGGCCAACAGTGTTGAAAGAGTTAAACTGGTCACCACTGCGCTTAGCGTTGACAAGCTTTGAAGGAGGCGAGTCTTATCAGAACGATGTGTCTCTCTCGGTACCTGTGATGACGGCTCGATACCATTCCTCGTCTTCAGTGAACTGGGCGACACATGCACTCCCCAGGACTGGAGGCGCCATGGTGCCGGCGCTGCCTTCTAGACTGCTGTACTGATGGTGAAGGTCCTCCATGAGGCTCTCAAGGTCGGCATTCCATCTTGCCAGCTGGACACAGAAGTGCTCTGGGTCTGTGATGTGGGACACGAACACCTCCTCTTGTGTACCCGGAGTTATCTCCACTTGCTTGAACTCCCCGGGTGACCTCATCATGCCCCGACTCGAAGCTCTGAAAGAAACATCTTCATGATTTACTCTAGACTTGCACCACTCATAACCAACTGCACATTAGAAATATACCAGTGCAGAAAATGCAGATATTGGACAAGTTGTCCCTGACCCTGATGCATAGCAAAGATGTTGGCTTGTACTTAGAAGTTTGTTTGACTGCTTGACTGAACACGTGGAGTAAACCAGGTGAACATGCCTCAGATTGGACAAGTGCAAGTTGGAATAGCTACTATTATTGACCTCAAATGTAGTAAAAACATTGTAGTTGAAATGGAGTAAAAAGATCATTGATCCTTATCCTGACTCATACTAATTGCTTTTCTCATCACATTTCTGACAGGCAGTGGAAACTTCCTGTCCTGTGTTCCTGGAGAACAGTAAAACAGCACACCCGAATGCACCCGAGCCACGCAGGTGCACCAGAAGCATGTGATAAGACCGGTTACGCGTCACTCTCTCCTCCTCTTGCCTAGTGGCCAAAACACTCCAGAGGGAAAGTGGGGACGGCAGGGTGAGTGAGTGTGGAGCATGATACTGTCATAATTCTTCTTGTCAGGTACCATCTCCTTCGTGGTGAAAGAGAGGAGTTAATCTTTTGGATATTGTGGACTTAATAAAAAAAGTTCAGGAAAGATTTTCTCTCTTACTTTAAATGATTATGGCTTTAAGAAAAGGTTGTTAACTTAACACAATCTTTGTCAGTCATGTTCTGAATTATACTCACACGCAAAAGTCGAGTATGCAGTATACATGTTATTTATTTTCAACAGTAAAGACAAGAAATACTAATAGGGCAAGATTGACAAATATTTGACTGAAGACAGTTTAATGGATTAAAAGGCAGATGACACAATCGTTTTTTTAAAATGTTAAGGGCTTACACAGTTTCGGGTCAATACCCAAAACCCTTGTGAAGGCCCTAGGGATCCTCCTGCACACATCCAGAGCAGCTGTGCGTAGTTCATCGGCAGTTGTAGGGACTGGGTGCACATTGTGCAGACGCCTTTGAACCTCATCCCACAAGTGATCGATGGGGTTCAGATCAGGGCTGAGGGCTGGCCACGGTAGAACACGGATGTTGTGTTGTTGCAGAAAGGCCATGGTAGCTCTGGCAACAGGGGGACGAGCGTTGTCCTGCTGGAAAATGTGTTGTTGATGTGCGGCAAAAAATGGACTAACGTGGGGTCTGATCACTTGCTCGATATACCGATATTTATTGTTCTGGAGACTTCTGCTGTAGTATTCCTAGATAACGGAATAAATGGTCCTCTAAATCTTTGTCTTCTGGAGCTTGTCCTCTGCAGGTAGATGTGTAGGGCTCCAGCTGGGCACAAAGACAACTTAATGTGTCTTCTGATCCAAAAATGGATGAGATTGTTTGATTGGTTGTCCCAGTAGATGAGGAAGTCCCATCTAAGGGCGAGATGAACTGATGTGTTTTCGCCGTTGTCGAATCTTGTACAGGTGAAATCGATCACATGACCTCCTGGCTGCCTTGGCTAAAGCCAGTAGAAGTTCAGCTTGTTGTTGGGGCGGTAAGATGTTTAAGCAATACGATCACAAGCTGGAGATCTGAGTTTCTTTTGTTGATCTTCCAAGTCTGTACGATCTCAAAAAGGCTTTCAATTCTGAAATTTTTGTGATGGTTTTGATGGCCTTGACAGGGCGTCCGCTAATGCGTTTGACACTCCTGGGATGTGGACTGCCTTTATTCTAAGGATGAGGTTGTCTGTCAGATTGTAGAGTTGAAATGTTAATCTCAGAAGGGGTGCGTGCCCCATCCTTGTAGACAGGCGTCTAGGAACAGATGCTGGTTGTAATCCGGATCGTTCAAAAAGGTTCCTCTGCAGACATTCCACTTGATTGTCCACCAATGAAGGTATTTCTTCAGCTGTTGTGGTGGTTAAAAGTCTGAGATGTGGATGATCGAGGAACTGTCTAAAGAATCTCTAAATGGGATGAAGTTGCAGTCTGCCTTCTACTGTCAACGCTTGGGCAGAGGTGAGTAGTCCTAGCAGCACTTGCCATTGGTTGACAGAGGTCTGTCTGTGAACAGCTGCTGGAAGAAAGCTTGGAATCCTTGTCCACCAATCTTCTGGTACTTGAATCAGATTCTGCTTTGCAAGAAATCTGATCCCTAGGAATTGGAGGTCCTTGGATGGTTGAAGGTCGTCTTCTGATAATGGATTCACCAAGCTAGTTGGTTGTCCAGGTAGAGGGAGCAATGGATCCTCTTGTTGTGAAGGAATTGGTTTGGTGAACTGTGTGAACAACCACAGGGATGCAGAAATTCTAAAGATAATTTTAAGTGATGTCCTTGATACAGGAAACAGATTTCCTGAAGGCTGGCTGAATGTGACATGCCGGTAATCTTCCTATAGATCTATGCTTAAGAGACGGTCGTGTTGCCTTAGCTGGGCTTAGATGAAGCATTCTGAACTCCTCCGGCTCTTGAAGATACTTTTCCTCGAATTCCTTCATATTGTAGATTAAACAAAACTTTTGGTTAATTCTTTTTGGGGACCAAGAAGATTGGTGAATAGAAGCCTGTGGTTATGACATCTTGCTGTACAAACCATACTGCTCCCTTGACGAGAAGTGTGTCGATTGCTCCTGTTAACTTAGGTAGCAGAATTTCTGAGTATTGCATAATCAGTGGGTTGAGTGAGAGAGGAGGTTCCTCGCGTAGATTTGGCTTGTAACCCTTCTTGAGTATGGGTCATCCAGGATGTCCCAATCCTTTCAATATCTTGTCGTCAGCCTTCCACGAACGGTTGGGGGGTGGAAGTTCCCAGTCGTTCGTCAGCTTCCCTTCATTGGTAGGCACGGGATCCCCTAGATCCTCGGCCTCGAACAGACTGATCACGTGATCTATCTTGTGGCCTATGAAAGTCAGAAGCCTTTTCTCCTCAGGTAAGTAGCTCGCTTGTCTTCAGCTTTCTGGATTCCAGAAAATCTGCTTCTGAGCTGTGGATCCTCTGCATGGATTGTTTGTACATATAGAGAATATATAATGAAATATATCAACACTCCACTTTTATCAACCAGAGTTGATATATTGGACATCAAAAGACACTCGGGTGAGATTTTAGTTATCATCCAAAATCATTCTTCCAAGTTTTTCAGTTTGAAGACGGTAATCAGCAGTATAAAAAGTGCTGCTAACAGCTTCAGTAGCACAGCCATCTACAATGTAGATATCGTTTGATCTCACCCAAGCGATATCTCCTGTGGGAGCCAGTTTAAGATGATGAATTTAATTAGTATGTGGTATTTAGAATCCTGTATGACATCACTGTTGGCACTTCTGATGTGGCTGTCGATTATGGTTGAAGCGTCCCAGTGGGAGCTGGCCATTAAGCCATGTCCTAGTCTGAATGAGGGAGTGAGTATTGTTTTACGCCGCTTTTAGCATTACAGCAATGTCACGGCAGGGGACACCAGTAATGGGCTTCACACATTGTACCCATGCCGGGAATCGAACCTGGGTCTTTGGCGTGATGAGCGAACGCTTTAACCACTATGCTACCCAACCACTTTGCACCTTGTGAAAATGAGTTGATACATGGAATAGTTAAGGTGTCGATGTCTTCACCATTGATACACTAAGTATCAGAGTGAGAAGAATCACTGGAAAGTGAAGCACTGAGGTCCATATGTGATACAAGCTAATAGCTCATAGTCCTCGGAAATGGAGGGGTGATCCTCTTCAAATACAGGATGGAACATATCCTGTCTTTAGAGAGTGACATCGAAGGGGAAGGCTGCTTGGAGTCCTAAGTCATCATATGAAGCTGCTGCATAGCAAACTTAGAAGTGGTCAGCTGCGTGGAGGTCGAGTAAAAAAACATGAAAACATTTAAGCAAAATACAAAAAAATAATCATTAGCTATGATACATAGAGGTTAGAAGGTTTTGGTTCTCCAGGAACTGGTATAGGAAGTTTCCACTACCTTTTGGAAATGAGACAAGGATGAGCAATAAGTATGAATCAGGACAAGGCAAAATCTTAAATATGGAGAGATTTCTATCATTACATAAGAAAATACTCAGTGTGTTCATCTTGCCACATGCTGTATGAGACAGAACGTTGCAGCTGGCTGGGGATGCAGGCACATCGGGGATCCATGTAGGACTCTTAAACAAGTGGCAGGCAGTTTGGCCACATTGCTGTTACCAGTGAAATATAAGTCACCTGTGCAGACCGAAACCATGGCCATCAGTTCTGACATACAGAATCTACAGGGAATTTGTTACTGGCATGATATAGGTCAGCCCACTCCTGAACCAATGACGAGGCTGGGACAAGCCCCATGATCACTGTGACAGAACTATGCAGTTTGTTGTAAAGACAGTACCTACCCTCCTGAACCAATGACCAGGCTGGGACAAGCCCCATGACCACTGTGACAGAACTATGCAGGTTGTTGTAAAGACAGTACCTACCCTCCTGAACCAGTGACGAGGCTGGGACAAGCCCCATGATCACTGTGACAGAACTATGCAGTTTGTTGTAAAGACGGTACCTACCCTCCTGAACCAATGACGAGGCTGGGACAAGCCCCATGATCACTGTGACAGAACTATGCAGTTTGTTGTAAAGACAGTACCTACCCTCCTGAACCAATGACGAGGCTGGGACAAGCCCCATGATCACTGTGACAGAACTATGCAGTTTGTTGTAAAGACGGTACCTACCCTCCTGAACCCATGACGAGGCTGGGACAAGCCCTATGATCACTGTGACAAAACTATGCAGTTTGTTGTAAAGACGGTACCTACCCTCCTGAACCAGTGACGAGGCTGGGACAAGCCCCATGATCACTGTGACAGAACTATGCAGGTTGTTGTAAAGACAGTACCTACCCTCCTGAACCAGTGACGAGGCTGGGACAAGCCCCATGATCACTGTGACAGAACTATGCAGTTTGTTGTAAAGACGGTACCTACCCTCCTGAACCCATGACGAGGCTGGGACAAGCCCCATGATCACTGTGACAGAACTATGCAGTTTGTTGTAAAGACGGTACCTACCCTCCTGAACCAGTGAGGAGGCTGGGACAAGCCCCATGATCACTGTGACAGAACTATGCAGCTTGTTGTAAAGATGGTACCTACCCTCCTGAACCAGTGACGAGGCTGGGACAAGCCCCATGATCACTGTGACAGAACTATGCAGTTTGTTGTAAAGATGGTACCTACCCTCCTGAACCAGTGACCAGGCTGGGACAAGCCCCATGATCACTGTGACAGAACTATGCAGTTTGTTGTAAAGACAGTACCTACCCTCCTGAACCAGTGACGAGGCTGGGACAAGCCCCATGATCACTGTGACAGAACTATGCAGTTTGTTGTAAAGACGGTACCTACCCTCCTGAACCAATGACGAGGCTGGGACAAGCCCCATGATCACTGTGACAGAACTATGCAGTTTGTTGTAAAGACAGTACCTACCCTCCTGAACCAATGACCAGGCTGGGACAAGCCCCATGATCACTGTGACAGAACTATGCAGTTTGTTGTAAAGACGGTACCTACCCTCCTGAACCAGTGACGAGGCTGGGACAAGCCCCATGATCACTGTGACAGAACTATGCAGGTTGTTGTAAAGACAGTACCTACCCTCCTGAACCAATGACAAGGCTGGGACAAGCCCCATGATCACTGTGACAGAACTATGCAGTTTGTTGTAAAGACAGTACCTACCCTCCTGAACCAATGACGAGGCTGTGACAAGCCCCATGATCACTGTGACAGAACTATGCAGGTTGTTGTAAAGACAGTACCTACCCTCCTGAACCAGTGACGAGGCTGGGACAAGCCCCATGATCACTGTGACAGAACTATGCAGTTTGTTGTAAAGACAGTACCTACCCTCCTGAACCAATGACGAGGCTGGGACAAGCCCCATGATCACTGTGACAGAACTATGCAGTTTGTTGTAAAGACGGTACCTACCCTCCTGAACCAATGACGAGGCTGGGACAAGCCCCATGATCACTGTGACAGAACTATGCAGTTTGTTGTAAAGACAGTACCTACCCTCCTGAACCAGTGACGAGGCTGGGACAAGCCCCATGATCACTGTGACAGAACTATGCAGTTTGTTGTAAAGACGGTACCTACCCTCCTGAACCAGTGACCAGGCTGGGACAAGCCCCATGATCACTGTGACAGAACTATGCAGTTTGTTGTAAAGTGAGTGAGTGAGTGAGTTAAAATTTAACGTCGCATCAGCATTATTTCAGCCATATAGCGACGAGACCAAGCTAATATATATACAAATAGTCGTTTGTTGTAAAGACGGTACCTACCCTCCTGAACCAATGACGAGGCTGGGACAAGCCCCATGATCACTGTGACAGAACTATGCAGTTTGTTGTAAAGATGGTACCTACCCTCCTGAACAAATGACCAGGCTGGGACAAGCCCCATGATCACTGTGACAGAACTATGCAGTTTGTTGTAAAGACGGTACCTACCCTCCTGAACCAGTGACCAGGCTGGGACAAGCCCCATGATCACTGTGACAGAACTATGCAGGTTGTTGTAAAGACAGTACCTACCCTCCTGAACCAATGACGAGGCTGGGACAAGCCCCATGATCACTGTGACAGAACTATGCAGGTTGTTGTAAAGACAGTACCTACCCTCCTGAACCAATGACGAGGCTGGGACAAGCCCCATGATCACTGTGACAGAACTATGCAGGTTGTTGTAAAGATGGTACCTACCCTCCTGAACCAATGACGAGGCTGGGACAAGCCCCATGATCACTGTGACAGAACTATGCAGTTTGTTGTAAAGACGGTACCTACCCTCCTGAACCAATGACGAGGCTGGGACAAGCCCCATGATCACTGTGACAGAACTATGCAGTTTGTTGTAAAGATGGTACCTACCCTCCTGAACCAATGACGAGGCTGGGACAAGCCCCATGATCACTGTGACAGAACTATGCAGTTTGTTGTAAAGACGGTACCTACCCTCCTGAAACATTGACGAGGCTGGGACAAGCCCCATGATCACTGTGACAGAACTATGCAGTTTGTTGTAAAGACAGTACCTACCCTTGTGTGAATCTTGACATCGTTATCTGATTGTGGTGAGTCGGCCGGACGTCTTCCACACGTTACCAGCTCACATCTCCCATCTGGAACACCAAGCAAACAACTGTATACCATGTTACCATGGTTACTGTATGTACGGGGATCTTACCTTGACTTACAGAAGTGGGAACCCCCAGTAATGGATTGTAATGTGAGGGTCCTTGCAGGTAATGTGAGGGTCCTTGCAGGCAATGTGAGGGTCCTTGCAGGCAATGTGAGGGTCCTTGCAGGCAATGTGAGGGTCCTTGCAGGTAATGTGAGGGTCCTTGCAAGTAATGTGAGGGTCCTTGCAGGCAATGTGAGGGTCCTTGCAGGCAATGTGAGGGTCCTTGCAGGCAATGTGAGGGTCCTTGCAGGCAATGTGAGGGTCCTTGCAGGCAATGTGATGTAAGGGTCCTTGCAGGCAATGTGAGGGTCCTTGCAGGCAATGTGAGGGTCCTTGCAGGCAATGTGAGGGTCCTTGCAGGCAATGTGATGTAAGGGTCCTTGCAGGCAATGTGATGTAAGGGTCCTTGCAGGCAATGTGAGGGTCCTTGCAGGCAATGTGAGGGTCATTGCAGGCAATGTGAGGGTCCTTGCAGGCAATGTGAGGGTCCTTGCAGGCAGGCAATGTGAGGGTCCTTGCAGGCAGGCAATGTGAGGGTCCTTGCAGGCAGGCAATGTGAGGGTCCTTGCAGGCAGGCAATGTGAGGGTCCTTGCAGGCAGGCAATGTGAGGGTCCTTGCAGGCAGGCAATGTGAGGGTCCTTGCAGGTAATGTGAGGGTCCTTGCAGGCAATGTGAGGGTCCTTGCAGGCAATGTGAGGGTCCTGTAAAGTGGTGAAAGGAAGGGTCCTTGCAGGCAATGTAAGGGTCCTTGCAGGCAATGTGAGGGTCCTTGCAGGCAATGTGAGGGTCCTTGCAGGCAATGTGAGGGTCCTGTTAAGTGGTGAAATGGTGTAGGGTACTGTACGATCACATAATTACTTTATGAATCAATGATCCTGGGGACAGTGGTCATGATCGACATATGACATGACATACCAACAACAGCTCTTGGTGCCCTGAAGGTACAAAGAATATTATAGTGCGTAGCATATTCCTCAAACTCAACACTTGTGCGTTGCATAAAACCTTGATGTATATCTTCAATATTAGGATTACAGTAAACTACGGTTATAACGAACTCAAAGGGATCACTGATTTTAGTTTGATATAAGCATAGTTCGTAATAAGCATATATACAGCAAATGGCCGGGACCAAAGGTATGTTCGTTATATCCGTCAGTTTGTTATAAGCGTGTTCGTCATGAATGTAGTTTACTGCATAATTAACCACAGTACCACAGGTGGCATAAAACACGGAGTCAGCTGACAAAGTCTGGCCATTTGAACACGCTGAATGACTGAAGTCCCTGCAAGAAATGATAAGATAACAAGATAACTGTTTTCAGTGAGTGAGTGAGTGAGAGAGAGAGTTGGGTTTAACGTCGCTTTTAACAGTATTTCAGTTATATCACACTGTGTCAGCTTAATGTGGGAGGAAAGCCTGAAGTGATGCTGATCTCCGACATTTACCACTTCAGTGAAACCCACAAGCACGGGTATGGTCCTGACAAACCTAGAAACACAATTAGGGTGAACTGGGATTCGAACTCACAATCTTAGTAAAATCTAAATATTTTTTCCATTTGTATACTTATCCTGCATTACTCCTTAATGCATTCACAGCTTACCTTGCGACAAAAAAACTGGGACAGCGTACCGGCGATGGTCCTGGGTGAAGATAATTATACTGTTCCTGAATCCCCCTTTCATACCACATCGCCGTCGCCGTCCCTGTGACCTCACATGACCTAGGTCACCTCTTCACATCACTGCCTGTTACCCGAGCTTAAAAAACATACTTTTGAGGTTTCTGAAGCCAAAGTAGGGAGGCAAGTCTGCGACGGGTGGGCCTTAAACGTAGTAATGCAGGATAAGTATACAAATGTAAAAAATATTTAGATTTTACTAATGTTTTTTACTTATCCTGCATTACTCCTTAATGCACCTGTATTGTACGGTTTGGAAGTCAGAACTCTCAGAATACAGAATCCTCAATAATTCACACCCTGAAGGGTACGACACTGATTGGTCGGTAAACCGTGAAGTGGTAAAGTTCAGAAAAACAGTAGGGTTCTATCAATGTGCAAAAAAACATTGAACATAGGAATTAAAGACTAGTTCCCTATATATCTTTAGTAATAAAGACAAATAGCTCATCAGCCAAATCTTTACTTACTAGAAAAATGGAGCCCTGCGGACAATTGCTTGTCTCATATTCTTCCACTGGCAAAATCTGATCGACTGCACCAGAAAGGGAAAGGCTCTGTTTTGGGTGCGTACATTATTTGCGTCAAGGGTTGGTAACTTGCTGAGCTACAACCAACGGCCCAAAACTATGTACACCTTCGACGTCCTCAAGAGTCACATCGCGAAGATACTGACTGGCAAAGACTGTGTCAGACCTCCAAAAACATCCTTCCATGATTGTCTTAATAGTACAATTGTTGTGTAAGGCCATGGTAGAGGCTAATGCCCTGATCTCATGAGGATTATTCGCTCTTGGTGGATCCAAATTGGCGATCGAATAGACCTGAAGGATGACTGCGTGTAACAATAGAGATATGGTGTTGCGAGTGACTTCGGTTGTGGACGTAGTAGACACAGGTATAAATAACCCCTTCCTTGAACCACGCTTAGTCTTGGAACAGCGGATGAAAAGGGGGGCCCTCGCAAACCTTGAAGTACCATGTTCAAATCCCATGCAGGTGGGCGGAAGTTGGCGTTCTGATCCTCAAGCCTGAATGAGGGTAGTAGGGCCTGTAGTTCCGGGACCTTAGTCATCTTAAGATTTTCCGGAACGGCCAATACTGAGTTAAGTGCAACCAAATACGTAGTAATGGTGCTACCTTTCAAGTGTCTTTGGGTACGCAAATGTAGGAGGTATTCAGCTAAAAACTGAAGTGACGCAGTAGTAGGGTCTTGACTATTTGCCTTGCAAAATGTTTCAAACGATCCCCACTTGTCATCGTAAAGGCCTCTAGTAGAGGGAGGATGAGCTAACGTTACAGCTTTTGCTGCCCGTGCCGAGTAGCCTTTTGCACTTGACGCCTTTTTAAGACGAACCAACCGTGCAGAAGATATCTGTCTGGTGCTGGATTAGGCAATTAGCTGTGAGGGTGGTTAAGTAGGTTGGACCACTGTGAGAGGGGTAGTGTATCGTTTTCTGCTATATTTCTGAGCTCGATGAACCACCCTCTCGCCAGCCATCAGGTCGCGACCAAAGTCAGAGCAAGTATCCTTGTCTCCTTCATCTTTTACATTACCCTGGGAAGTAAAACAGGTGGCGGAATAGCGTACGCTTTTAGCCCTTCCCAAGGGATGCTGAACGCGTCCACTGCCCAAGCCTGATTGGAGTCGAAATGATGGAGTTAACTCCGACTTCACCTCACTGATCTTCCATCCCAGTTGATACAGTAACCTTCTGGAGAGATCCGGTTGCAAACTAATCTGGTGTTGATGAAACAGGAGACAGTCGTCTATGTACGACTGGAACCAAATGTTCCTCAGCTGTAGAAACACAGTTATGGGCTTCATTACTCGTGTAAATAGCCACGGGGCCACTGAAATGCCAAATGGGAGTACTGCCCACTGGTAGTGGACCCCATTGAACTGGAACCTGAGGAAACTGCAGCCGTTGGGATGGATCGGTATGTGCAGATATGCATCCTGCAGATCGAAACTGATCAAGGAATTGAACACTTTTATGCTGGTTTTGAGTCGTCTCAATTTGATGAGGCAGAAATAGGGTGGACGCTTCAAGTAACGTTCGTTGAAAACAGAAAGATTGTGTATCATTCTCATCTTGTCTGAGCCCTTCTTGGGTACCAGGAAGATGTGAGAATAAAACCCTGGTGTTAACACTGGTGTGTGTATAATCTCTACGGATCTCTTTCCCAACAGCAAGTCTATGTTGGCCTTTAATAGCAGACGTTGCTTTCTTGGAAAATTCCAAGGGAGAGGCGCCGTGGTCAACAGTGGAAATACCTCTACATCTAGTTGGTAACCGTGACGTAGAATGTTGAGAACGTCCTTGAGGATGCTCCAGTTCTTCAAAAATCGTTTCAGTCTCCCGCCTACAGGGGTATGGACTATTGGGACACCCGGGGGTGGGGGATCCAGGTCGTGACTGTCCAACATTTCAGTGTTTGACCCTCTTATCCCCTCACTTACTGTTGTATTTACCACGTCGGGATTGATAAGAACCTTGAGGTTTCCCTCTGCCACGCCCTCTAACTTGAAAGGAATCTTTCGCCTGTCCTTGCTTGAGAGACTAGCGTCTAGGCCTGTAATTGCCTGACCTGCCTGATCGCTGGGATAAACTCTGAGAAACGTGCTCCAAAGCCTTGATTGCAATTTCATCCCTAGCTTAACTGGGAACTTTGGCATGCATGTCCTAATTTGTTCATTGAACAGAGATGTGGAAGACCAAGATGACGTAATAACCTGCACTTAAACTCTGAATCCCAAATGGATAGGGCTAAATACCGAAGTCTCCGTGTGACATTTATTTCTGCCAGCGCGGCTTTAAGGTCATTTATCATATGGTCAAACTGACGCTGTTGAAAATCAACAATGGTTTGGAGCTGATCTAGTTGGTTAGGGTTATCCTCTGATAGATCCTGCTCTACCATGTGTCTACCCCAGGTGTTGACAATGCTAATGCTGATAAAGGTTTTAATACCCTTCGAATTTCCGTTTTAATAAACGCAACTCTGGTATCCTGAACCTTAAGAGTAGTAGGCCTTGACGAGCTTGTCATTCTCTGTATATCCTCGTCCAAACTACGTGCCTGGTCTGCTGCCTCAAAGCCATGAATAGGAAATTCATCCTTTCTAAACCTGGGAGGCTTGAATGGCGGCATAAGTGTTAGCCTGGAAAAGTCCTCATCCAAAGATTTAATCATATCTCACTGACATCAAAGGGTTGATCGGAATCGACCGATGTGTTTAAATAGTATC